TAGTTTTGAAACATTTTAAGTTTTCCAGTGGCTGTCACACTCAGTTGCAATTAGTGTACTTGCTGGTCACAGTTAAATTTGGGCTCCAAGTTTCAATGCAGATGTATATTCTCAATTAAATTTCTGCCTTGTTGCTGAGGGTGTAGCACAGTGGTGAGAGTGCATGCTTAGCATGCATGAAGCCTGGAATTGAAGCCCAAGCACCGAATAATAATAACAACAGTAATTTAAAAATAAAATTCAGTGTTAAAAATGAATGTAAAAATATTACTTTTCAGTTGTGCAGTGAAGCAGTCAGACAGTATCTGTTTGCTCTTCACTTTGTAGCATAAAATTAAAGTGGACCAAAAATATCACCAAGCCATGAAAGCAAAGTTATTGTCTTAGACACACAATGAGGGTGGGAATGCGGGGGGAGGGCTGGCACCAAGGGGAAGTATTCAGTCATTAGGGGAAACAAGGGTGAGACATTTCACAGGACGGGCTTTTCAGAATGGACTAAGCAGGAAAAAGGAAAAGGTTCTCTATGGATATTGTTCACTGGTTTGTGTGTATGGGGACAGCAGGTGTCATATGCAAAACAGAAAAAGAAGTTACTTTGCTTGTAATGAATGGTAAACAGAGTGTGCATAAACTAATATAAAAACAAAAATAGATGAGTGATCCTATAGAAAAGCAAACTTGCCTGGCTCAAATGCATTAACTGCTGTTTACTGTAGGTCAAAATGGCAAGCAGAGATTCAAAGGAAAACAATGACTACTATATGTGGTCATTGCTCCCTTCTCTTAGCTGGGTGAGCCAGGTGTCCTGGCTTTGGAACGTGCCCTGCTTTCCCTGTGGCCCTGTTGATCTAGGCCTATGGCATCGTCCTCATAGTTTTGTGAAAGTTAATGCTTCCATGTCATTATGTCTGTTACCATTTGAAGACCAAGTTGTAAACAGAGATGGTGACTCCAGGGTATTCTTGTTTTCTCAGCAAAAGATAGGATCCTGGAATTAGAGAAGATGGAAAGGAAATGCTCAATCATATGATTATGTGTATGTTCTAGTCTTGGTTATCCAGATCGGAAATTGGTATTTTGCTTGTTTGGGCCTGAAATTTGATATCCCAGCCTGGTTCTCCCAGTATGTCTTTGATCAATCATCTTGATATTTTCAACAAGTGGAACGTGAACCCATATTTTAAAAGTAACTGAAATTTTAGCAATTAGGAAATATCATAAATAAAACAAGTAAATAAAATGAAGCTGAGCACATGTATGCTCTTTGGGTCACATTTCCACTTTGCCACATTATTGGTTGAGGATGGATGGTTTAATTTTTATCTAGTGTTGGGCTAAGCACTTGTGTATCTATGATTTCACATTAGTTAGGTCTTATTATCTGTTCTCTAGCTGACAAATCCAAACAGCTTAAAGACTTGCTCATAATCATAGAGACGACTTATGGCAAAGGTGAGATTTGAACCCAAGACTTCTGATTGCACAACTGGTATCCTTTCTCTGACACCAAGCAGCCAGTGTAGCAGGTGAATCTATTATAGAAATTTTTCTATAAAGTATTTTTTAAGTGAATTTTATATTCCATTATTAAGAGATGGAACTTAATATACTAAAACACTAAAATAAAGAGGTATGTTCTTGTAGAATTTTTAAAAAATGTGTTGTTTCCTAATAATAAAATCACATAATACAGCATGTCTCTATTTTTACACATTTTAAGGAAAATAAGCATTTGATAAGCAGATAATCAAAAATGTCAGATATAACATTGGGTCTCAAAATATGAATGTTATAAGTGCCACTGATACAGTACATTAAAATAAGCTCTCTTAAAATCAAACCATAAGAAGTGGCGTGGCTTGTAAATCTCTTAATTCAGGAGTGAAGTGGAGGGACAGTGGTACTTGATGCAAAGAGAGTATACCCTATAAATTTAGGCTACCAAAAATGTTTAGATTATGGTGAGCTACCTCATTTCATCTCCAGATGAGGAAATAGAAAAATGTAGCTCAGAGTCATTCTACTGAAAAAGGTGGAAGACCTAGAGCCCTTGCAGTGAACTTGGACCCAGCAAAGCCACCTCCACTACCCTTTCCTGCCCACCACCAGCCTCTGCCCAGACAGGGCAGGGTCAGTATAAGCCAGAATTGGCAGGCAGGCTACTCCTCCCTGGTGAGGGCAAAAGATCTCAGGCCACCATGACCAAATCTATAATTTCTACTTCTAAAGGAATAGCCTCTTTCTCTTACAAATTTCATCTTTTGTAATGAGTGAGCCAAAAAAAAAAAAATACATTTTGCTTTTTTGATGTGACTCAAGGCGAGAATGAAAAATAAATATTGGCTGTTACCTTATCAGATACTATATGGCCTTACTTTTAAACGTTCTTTCTGCACAGGGTCTGTTTATAGCAGAAGCCTATGGGAGACAAGTGGGGGTAGGAAAGTAGATGGTGGCCTGAGGCACTTATTTGCTTGAGAAAAATTGCTGCCAGATGAGCGGTTTCAGAAAGGAAAGGCTGCTGATGTGGTTTGGAGTGGGTTCAGGATTAAAGAGGATGCAGCTTCTCCTCTCCTTTATAAATGTTCACTGGAGACTGATGGGGTTTTGTATGCATGTGTATTTCCTTTATCTATTAGGGAAATAGCAAGAAATATAGGAACACCCTGTGATAAAATAGATGAAGTGGCGGCTGAGGGAACAGATGGATGAAGTGGAAGGAGTATGCCCCAGGTCTATGACATCTTGTATTATGACGAAATTCTTGGCATGGTGGATTTGCTAAGTCCACAGGTAATCAACTCAGTGAATGGGAGGAATGTATGGGGCACAAGTGGGGGAGACGCTATGCCTTCAGCAGTTTTTAATGTAAATAGCACTCATTCCCATGAAAGTGGCTACAGGCTGAATTTTTATTTTATTAAATTAGTGTCCACCCTGGAAGAATTCCAGAGAGAGTAAGCTGGAGTGAGCAGAGCTGTCATTTGTTACATTGCCTCCACTGCTTTGATGAATGACTCTCCCAGTCCTAGATCTCCTAATCAGATTAGATGCCTGCTGCAAGACAGTGAGACTGGGAATAGTTGCATGCTGCATTTCAAAGCAAGAAAGCAAAAGGAATATCTCAGCCTGTAATTTTTAATCCTGTAGAAATTTCTGAAATACTAATCCCTGTTACCAATGAGCCTCTCTTTAGGAGGAAATTTAAATATGGCTTCAAAATAATACAATTGCCTTGCTAACATTGTTATTTGCTAATCATTTTTTGAAATTGTCTATTAATACCTATTTTATAGCAACAAATTTTGATTTGAATTTGTTCACTTGCTATCTTTTAATACTGAGCTCTCTTTTCCAGAGCTCCTATCTACAGGGCCTTATTTTGGCACCCGTGAAAGCCCTCTCAACTGGGTATCAGAAAGGCTGCTCATTCAGCAAAAGAGTCCCACTGGGTCCCCACAAGCTAGAGAGGACAGAGAGAGGCAGACTAGCGGCCCTGGCCCCCCTCCGTTGTCTCAGTGACTAGGATAAATTCACTGGACCCCAGCAACCAGGGACATAAAACTGGTCCTTCCAGTGCTAGGAAACCCACACCCCTGCATCCAGGACCTGAATCTCCTCCTCCCTCTGCTGGGCTTTTATTGATAAAGCGCTTCTTCTGCCCCTTTCCTGAAATAGCTTTTATTTATTTAATTAATTTATTGTTTTATGTGTGTACATATGTATATATTTAGATCTGGGCAGTGGAGTGAAGATACAGCTGTACCATTTCTTGCCCAAACTTATTTACCTGGGTATTTTCCTGGAATAGGAGTGGTATCAGGGTGTTGGCAGGAGAAGGCCCACATTAGAAAGGATCTTCCTATAATACAGCACCTGCTTTTTCTGAGCCCATCAGTTAGACACGCCCTTAGGTTAAGCATACATACAGAGAAGTGCTCACAAAATATACATCAGTGAGTTTCCACAAACAGATGGACCGATGCAACATCCGATTGAATTTACCTTGTTAAGATGCTTCTTTCAAGCTTTTGTAGGAATTTTTTGAAAGACAGCAAAATATACTAAAGGAAATGGAAACCACCTACTGTACTTATACCCCAGAATGAGCATTGGTAATGTTTAGGTGTGTTTCTAATCTGTCTCTCCTTTTTACACGTAAACAGATATGCATCCCAGTAGACACACACACACACACACACACACACAAACACACACACACACGGCACAACCTTTGAAGCTTTATGCATGTGTGCACAATACACAAAAGTTATAAATAATTGCAGCCACACGATGTACAGATTTTTAGATGTTTCATGGTGTGGCCCTTGCTTCATCAGCAGAGTGGCAGGGAAAATAAGTCAGAAAATCTGAGAACTATCTCCTCTCTTGGTAGCTGGAAAAAGGGCTTGGAGTGGGGAAGAGTTGGAAAAAGTGGCTTACATATAAATATGGATTCCTATATTATACTGATCCAGTATCTTTTCATCTCTTAGAACTGCCCGTTTATTTATTTATAACTGATGCAAAATAATTGTATATATTTGGCAGATACAGTGTGATAATTCAGTACATGTTAAGTAATGTATTATGAGCAAATCAAGGTAGTATTTTCTTCTCCTTAAATATTTATAATTTTTGTGTTAGAAACCTTCAGACCCTTTGTTCTAGTTATTTTGAAACATAAAATACATTGTTGTGAACTCTAGTCACCTTACTGTGCTGTAGAATACTAGAATATATTCTCCCTATTTAATTGTTTTTTGGTACTTGTTATCCATTCTGTTTCTATCTACCATTCTTTTAAAAAATATATATATTTTGTTTTCTTCTGTATTTGTAATTTGAGTTATTACCAGAGAATGTATTGGGATTTTTGTATTTGGAAAATATCTTCTCAGATGGCTTCTTTTTCTTTTCTTGTTAAAAAGCGTGTTCACAGATAGTATGAAGTGGGCTTTCTGTTTATGTGTGTTTCTGTTGTATTGTCTTTACAGTCGAAATCAGCTGTCTGCCCTGCCCGCCTGCCTGTGTGGTCTGCCTCTCAAAGTCTTAATCGCAAGTAACAACAAGCTGGGATCACTACCAGAAGAGATAGGTCAGCTCAAACAGTTAATGGAGCTGGTATGTTACTGATTTCTAAGATGCTCTTTTTGTTTGTTGACCAATCATGACCTATCAGGGTATTCTAAAAGACTTTTTGCTGCAGTTGAGTAAGGAGAAGCTTCTGTTAGTCCATTTCCCATTGCTATAACAAAACAACCAAGACGGGACCCTTTATAAAGAAAGAAACTTTATTTTTAGCTCACAGTTTTAGAGGCTGAATGGCCAAGATCAGGTGTCCTTGTCCACTTCTCCTCCCATGAGGGACCTCTCAGCTCATCACAATACAGCTGGTGGGGGCAAATGCCAGAGAGACAGGTCGCATGGTGAGATGAGAAACCAGAGAGCAGGGAGGGCTGCTCTTGCCTTTTATAACAACTTTCTCATGGGAGCTTACTGGGATCTCAGGAGAACTGTGTTAATCCCCGTGAACTAACCACCTCCCACCAGGCTCCATCTCTTTTATACATTCTACCACCTCTTGATACCACCAAACTGGGGACTAAGCTTCAGACACACCACATCCAATCCATAGCAGAGCTAGGTTGCTGAAGTGCAGTTATAAGGATATTAAATGGGGTGACATGACGCCAGCAGCATGTGGCTTTGCTATGACACAGTTCCTAAAGTTTATAAGTTTCCTGTAGTTTAAGCAGATCCTGAAGTTTGCAGAATTTATAGTTCCTGAGGTTGACAGGTTATCACATTGTAGTTAGATAATTTTTCCAGATTAAATATGAATTACGAAAAATTATGGCTAACCCAAAGAAATAATCTGCAAATAAGTTAGTAGGCCAGAATATAGGAAGGCATATAATTAAGTCAGAGGACAGAAAGAACAGGGTACTGTGAGTCTGTAAAGATTTTTGGCATGTCTGGAGCGGTGCTGCCTCTAGTCCTGGCACTGGAGCTGGTGTGTGGTTTAAGGAGCTCTCTGAGCTTTTCTTAGTCCCCTGTCCTGTGCCCCACTCTGGCAGGGGTACCCTGCATCTTAATTACTGTGCTGTCTTCTCCCAGATCTTGTGACTTTTCTCCACCAGCACTAACTCTAGGCCCCTCGAGTTCTAGAATGTTAGCTTCACAGTTGATTGTAAAAGGCATGTAGCTCTTGGCCTCTTTTTGTGTGTGTGAGGGGTGGGCGGGTGGCTGGGGATTGAACCCAAAGCCTTATGCATGCGAGGCATACACTCTGCCAACTGAGCTATATCCTCAGCCACAAGCTCTTGACTTCTTGAAGAAACCTAGATCAGAGAGACAGCAACGTATGGGAAGGTTGCCCTTGCTAAGTGGTCACCTAAGCTGAAATACCATCACCAAACATTGTCCAGTGGAAAAGTAAACAGCAAAGGTGATTTGAGATGTACCAGTGACCATATCTTAAAAAGTAAAAAGAAGCAAGCTAATTTAACAATATTTTATGTGATGCCACATAGCCAAAAGATTATTAAACATCAAACATACTGAGATGTTTTACTTCTTTTTTTCCCACACCAAGTCTTTGAAATCTAACATGCATTTTATATTGACAACACGTTGCGGGTTGGACAGCCACATTTCTGGTGCTCAGTAGTCACTAGGCATGACAAGAGAGGGCCCTGTCAAGCCTGTGCAGTTTCTTCTCTGTTGCCTGCAGTGTTTGAGCAAGAGTGCTCTTTGTAAAAAGCATTTGTCTGTGAAGTAGCTGAAAAGTTAATAAGTTGACATTATTTAACCACAAGGAAGTGACTGGCCTTGGTCAAGGTCACAGACTAAAAAAAGATTATTTTCCATCCATTATCATTTATCTTTGATATCTGCTTAAAATAGTAGTGTTACTATAGGTAACCATGTCAGATTATTTTTAGTTATCAATTGGAACAAAAAACTCCCTGCAGAGCTTAAAGCAATTCTTGAATTACAGCAGGAAGCTTCTGTTTTATAGTCACATATTACCAGTTTGTTAACAGAATCCTCATGGAGGCAGAATGTTTGAGCTTAGTGCAACATGCTGAGGAAGTGGCTCAGTTTATCAGTCTCTTGGCATTGTTTGCTAACTGTTTGGGGGGGAAAATGTGTTTTATAATTTTACATCAGACTCAGAGTATCTAAAAACTGGTTTGAAACTCTTTTCTTCCAAGTGTGGATGAACATTTGAGTTTAACGTCCATTTGAAAAACAAAACCAGAATACCTTGCCATCTACCGGAAAATAGTTGTCATTTCTTATTTTGGGAAGGGAGTGAAATTGGAGAACATTATCTTACCTTTTTAGTTATATCACAGTTATCTTATAATCTTAAAACAAAAAGCATTCCCAGTGTAGTAAAGTCATGTCCAGCCATTTCATATTGTCAGGGAATACCAAAAAGTGGTCATTTGGTCTGGGGATATAGCTCAGTTGGTAGAATGCTTGCCTTGCATGCACAAGGCCCTGGGTTCAGTCCCTAGCACCAAAAAAAAAAAATCATTCTCTTCCCATGAAGAAGTCACCTATGAGATGTCCTTTTTTTGAACCAAGAACATTGGCCAGGTGGTGTGTCCACATTGCCCGGGGGGCAAATCTTGTGGAATCTTTAGCTCTCTTGAGCTGGTTCTGTGAGGGTCATATCTGATGGGAATAATGTACAACTTTCTGACCTTGACCACTCCAAATGAATTCTTACCTGCTCTCATCTTACAGGTATGGTGTACGTTGATGTTGCTTTGTAAGCCTGTCTCTGCATGTGTTTTCTGTAAGGGGAGGAGGTAAAATGCTAACATTTACTGAGTACCTCCTTAATTCAGGTAGTCTGCTAGGGTATGACTTGTAATAGTTCATAGAATCTTGAAAATAACCTAGATAGGCCTGTATCATTTTTACATTTTGTAAATGTAAAATGGCCAGTTTAGGAATGACATATGTTATAAATGGCCAGTTTAGGAATGACATACCCAAAGCTGTGTGGCTACATGGTGGAACTAGGGTCAGAAGCAAGTTTGTCTGATTAAAGTCCACACCACAGAGCTGAGGATGTAGCTACAAGGCCCTGGGTTCAATCTCCATTATTGCAAAAAATAAAAATAAAATAAGGCCCGCACCACAGTGTAGCCACTGTCACCTTCTCTAGGCTGCAAGCACTTAGTGATTTCTTTCCCTGGAGTCCATAGTAAGGGTATCTGTGTTGGAAAATTTTCTTACCGTGGAACCGAGTCAGGTAGGGTCTATAGTCTTATCCTGTATTGACTAAATCTCGTTTTACCCGTCCAATCCTTCTGAACATGTTGGAAACCTGGCTCTTACTGAGGAATCTTGCAGAGGGATGAGGTGTTTGGTGAGAGCTGCTGTCTAAATACCTCTTGTTACAGGTAACAGCTGTGAAGATCAACACACTAAGGCAGAGCACAGTAAAACTGAGAGCATTTTGCGGGGCATTTGTCAGAGATCTATGAGTTTCTCTGGTTTTATGTGCATGGAGTCCACTGGGGCTCCAGCTCTTTGGGTTTTCTCAGTTCTGCGCTCCACGAGTTCACAGTTGGTGAAAGTCATGTCTTTTAGCTCTGATCCAAAATATCATGGATTTAGAAACCTATTTTGACATCCAAAAGCTTAGAAGACCTTGCTCAAGTGATAACTGGTTGGAAAGTGTTTCCTAGCCCTCAACAGACACACTATTTGTTATTCACTTTTCATGAAATGTTTGGAAGTGTGGGAAGTTTGAATTCAAAGATTGATTCTAGACATGATGTATTGAGCAGCTTCCGAGGAAAATGGCTTCTTGATTATTTTTATGCATAGCATTCCAAACTGCAGCATGTAAAGGCGATGTAAATGCAGGTGTCCTCCCTAACCATTTGTCCATTCCTGGTCTCTGGAGATGCCTCCTAACATCTGAGGTTCCTGTGGGATGGGTAGGAAACCCTAAGCTTTCTGAGGCCCCTCTGTGGCTTCCAGTTCTGCCTTTCTTAGGAAGAGCCACAGTGTGGAGCATGAGTTTGTGGGTACATGGAGGGCTGTGAAGTAGAGCTTTATACTGGAGAGAGGCACTGGTGTTGAGATTCTTTATCATACCAGAAGTTGCTGAAGGTGGTTTGTATTTAAATGTATTTGTATTGAAGTGAATATGTTGAATTTTCTTCTTTTTAAAGTTCTGACCCATGAGCAATGAGGTTTTCTTTCTTCTTTCTTCTTTTTTTTTTTTTATCCGTTGTTAACAAGTCAAGATATCTGTGTTTCGACCAAAGTGTTTTCATTATTTCAGATATCAGAAATGGGTCTTCCTGATGTTGGGAGAAAATTAGTTGTTCAAAGCTTACCTTTTATTTTATAGGCACAGAGAAGGTAATCCATACCTGAAGTTGCTCACTGAACCATACTGAAGGGATTTCCATGGAAGGGCATGGATACATGACAGGAGGCGAGTGGAGTGTTAATAACTTGCATTTCCTGTTAGAACATTGTATTCCATTAATTAAATGGGATCATGAGAATTTATTACCAAAAATTCCACTTAAGCTAGTAGTATCAGCACACTAAGCTTTTGAAAACCTGAATGCCAGAGCAAGGTCACTAGTAAGAGGCCACCTGCAACTCCACAGTGTCGCCTGGTCTCCTTGGACTCTGCTCTAACCTAGATTATCTTGTCACAGTGTTTATGATGGTTTTCATTAGATGCTACTGCTGTAAAAACACTTCTCGTCTTTTTTGAAATATTGTATTCTCAAATGAGTGAGCATCACTTAGCTTAATAATTCCTGAATTAATTCTGTTATTATAAATCCTTCTCATTTTGCCTTCTGAAGGTACATTAGCAATTAGCATTTAGTAACAAAAATGTAAGACTTCCATTATTGTGACAAAGAGAGAACCTTAATTTCCAAAGGTTTTTTTTTTTTAAAACATGATGTTTAAACCCATAGAAAATAGGTAGAGTTTAAATCATAGTTAGAATTTTCTATTTTGTTTTTTATGAGAATAACAAAGTTGGACAGACTGGTTCATGAAAAACTTAAGCTTTTTATATTATTTATAATTAGATTTAATTCTGTATCAAAAAGAATGAAATTGATACATCTAACAGATGTTCACGATTCTTCTTGATCTACTTGTTTTTTTGTAATATGGTAACATTAAATATGTGGTGATTTGATTTCACAGAAGCTTGAAATAATTATTCTCTAAAGACATAGCTTAGGGATAATAGAAAATTCAAAATTAATTCATTTGATAATTAAGTAAGTGAGCCTGGAATTTATAACCTGATAAATTCTCACTAACTGCAGAAGTGTCAGGCATTAGTGTTGTTTACTTTTAAAATTCATTTTCCTAAATATTATCTTCATCAGGTAAATAAATAAAAATCCATAACTCCTTCTAGACTAAATTTGGACCAAAATGTTCTAGAAAATGGGGCCATTCTAGAAATATTTTTTGCATATTTTCAAAACTGTACTATCTTATCCCTAGACACCTAGACTATTATCTCCTCTTTCTTCCTCATTCTCCAGCTAATTAAGACATAATTACCCATGGGGTTTTATTTTTGTGATGAAATTCATAACCTCCTTAAAATTTGACAAGATTCAATGACTTGTGGGGATTGGAGTTTTGCACTGTTTTCTGCAATATTGGTTATACGATGATGCAAAGTCTTTATCTCCCTTATGGGCTAGATCTGCCAGGGTAATCTCTCCCCATTATTTTGTCAGTGGAGGAAGTAACCAAGAGTACATAGTACTAATAAAATAATCTTGCTTTTACCCTGTGTCCTTCAACATTGAAAAGACAATTGGAATTTGTGTTTCAAATTGTCTACAGATGTCCTATCATATAGATGAAAATTTTGTTTTTATCATTATGGGAAATGTTTGTTTGTTTAAGTCTACCAAGTAACTGTTTTTTTTCTGCTGGTGAGTATTTAAATATAGTTGACAGAAGTTAATTTTCTTTGATGAGGCCATTATGTTAGAAATACATGTTGGAAAAATTAACTTACATTTAGAGAGATGGCTTACCCTGATTTCATGGTCAACTCAGGAATGACCAGCAAAGTGCAAGGTGTGTGTGTGTGTGTGTGTGTGTGTGTGTTTCATGCTAAAAAATAGAATAAGTGTGAGTTTCATGTCAGGAGATTTCATGCTGTGCATATGCTGACTAAATGTCTAGGTTTTCTCCTTGCTCTCCTCTGTCTGAATAGGAGCTGAGCACGTACCCTTAGCCTTAAGTGATGGAAGTGTGGAACTGGCTTCCCCTACTCGGGAGAACAGCTCTGGGTGTGAGCATCACCCAATGGGACTGGGCTACACCCCCCTGAAACCCAATCACTTGCCTCATTTGGGTGGAACTCTCTGAAGTGTCTTCCCCCCAGTAAATAGGGCTTCAGGCTGCACTTGCTCTCTTTTTTGTCTACCTCCCTTGCCTCCTTTGTGGGAGCCGGGACAGAAGAGCCGTCACTGAACCCCAAGAAAAAGGTACTTTCTGTGCCTGTGTGATTACTTAGTGTCAGCCCAGCTCACCTGAAGTGACCCTGACTGATTTAGTCGCGTGTCACGGCATTCCTCTCTGTACTCCTTATTTTTTGAGAGAAAGGCCCTTGAAACCTCTGAAAATTGTCAGTTTCACAATCAAAATCAGTGATTTTCATGATCTGTAAAAGGGTCTTTCTCCTGCTGTCATTCATAAAACTTATTAAAAGAATGAAACTTATTTTAGAGTCCAACAGCATAAATTCTCTCTACAGATGGAAAATGATTCCCTGTAATTCTTCCCCACAACCTCACCTCCACCACCAGCAAGATCACCCAAGTGACCGTGGCAGGTAGGGGCCGAGCAGAATGATTTGCTGTCACGTATTTCTGAGGCTTGCCTGTGTTCCACTGGAGTCTTTTAAAAGGGAATGGAATCGTGCCTCTTGCTGGTTTCTTTCTTAGTTCAGGCAAAGAAAGGTGTGGCTATCAATGGAAGGCTTTGGATGCTGACCTCTGTGACAGATCCTGGGCCACCTCCTCCTTCTGTCCTGGCCTCCCCACATGTCTTAGTCTCTTTAGGGGAGTGTTCATGGAGTTCCGTTGTTTTAAACACTGGGAGTGTTTTTCTTAAAATTGTGTGTGACTGTCCTGGACCAGGAGCAGTGCAGCAGCTTGGGGGCAATGCCACTGAACACCTCGTGTTCCTAACCCATCTCATCCCACCGCGGTGCTTCAGCAGCCGAGGACAGAAAACTACAGTGGGTCCACGACACCTGTGCACTCAGGCTTCTTGGCTGGCAGCATGGAAGCAACAATATTGTTCATTCTCTTCTATTGAGCATCATGATGATCATGACAGGTGCCTGAGGACTTGTAGATGAAATAGTCAGAGGGTGGGGATTCACTGACAGTGTATAGCCCTGGTCTAACAGGGATCAGGGACTGCAGGGGATGAGTTAATCTCAGTGATGAGTTAATTTCATCTGAATGAAAGTGAAATGGATTTTTGATACATGGGCCATGGTGCCTTCAAAGGTGAGTTGGGGGTGGGTGGGTTGTGGGTTCCAAAGTAAAGTGGGATATTTAAGAACATGGTCTTATGGAGAGCATTTATAATGTGACTCTATCTTTGGATATCTTCAATACCAAGTAGGGCCTTCTTGGAATTTAAGTAAGTATGTTGGAGCATCCTGGGCTCCCAGCCAAAAGGCAGAAGGAGTTACAACATCGTGAAGTGTCAGCATAAATGGATTTCAGAGGTTCATCCAGCATTCATTGGTCTCTGCTTTATATCGGGCACTGTGCTAGACACCAGGAGGATGCTGAGGATCTCATAGTGGGGAAGGCAAAGCCAATGAACACACTGTGTATGGGATCGCAGAGGGAAAGGTGGGCCATCTTTCAGGTGTTGGATCAGAGTGAGAGAGGGGAGGAGAACCTCATGGATGATTTCAAAGAGGAGGTTGAGAGTTGAATTAGGTCTTAAAAGATGAGTAAGTGGGACAAGATGACATTTTTGTGGACAGGGACATCAGGCAGGGAAATAGTGTGAATACATTTGGGACCACTAAACAGTGGCACATGCTGATGACTGCAAATCAGGACCCTATGGCTTGAATGTAGGATTCAAGGGAGGAACTGACAGACCCATTGTAGATGCTGGAACTTTCTTCAGATATCTAAGCTGGTAGACACCATAATGAAATGTGTGCCCTGGCAGCTCTGAGAAGGATGGATCTGAAGGGGAGAGCAATGTATGGAAACCAGTCAGGAGGTCATTGGTTGCCATATATAACCAATGAGAGAGAGAGCGATGGTCCAGACTGAAGGAGGAGCAGGGTTGGGGAGAGGAGAAGGTACAGAGTAGGATTAGTGAGGTAATAAGGATATATAAGACTATCAAGTCATGGATCCCATTTTATGTGTGTCAAGATGTGGTTCCAATCAAGGATATATAGGGTATTAGTCTTCAAAATCTTCCTATCCACAGTCTTGCTCATTAGCTATAAGGTTTGCCAGCCATTTGTTAAGAACCCTGTTTTAAATAAATAAGCACCAGACAGTGCATTCATGTTTCACTCAGCTTTTTCCCTGCTGCAACTAAAAGATCTGACCAGGAAAATTTAAAGGCTGAGGTTGTGGCTTAGTGGTAGAGCGCTTGCCTAGCCTGTGCACGGCACTGGATTCAGTTCTCACCACCGTGTAAAATAAATGAATAAAACAAAGTTCCATCAACAACTAAAAAATTAAAAAAGAAATAAAAAGTTTATCCAAGGGCTTATGGTTTCAGAAGTCTTAGTTCATGGAAGGCTGGCTCCATTTCTCAGGGGAAGGTGGCAGAACATCATGGAGGAAGAGTGTGGCAGAGGGAAGCAGCTCACATGGGGATCAGGAAGCAGAGACAGAGGTCTCCCGTTGCCAGATACAAATATATACCCCAAAGCCAAAGCCACGCTCCCAATGAACCTCCTCCTCTAGCCACAACCTACCTGCTTTCAGTTATCACTCAGTTGATCCCATCAGGGATTAATTCACTGGTTAGGTTAAGGCTATAACCCAATCATTTCTCCTCCAAACCTTCTTGCATTGTCTCACATGTGAGCTTTTGGGGGATAACACATCTAAGCTGAAACAATCCATATTCCTGAACTTGTAAGATAGAAGACATTGTCTCTTCTATCTAGAAGCACCAAGACACACCGGCTTAATACTGGGCCAGTCCCTCATGGAGGACACTTGCAGGCCTTGGGCCAGCAAGCCTCATTTTTTTGATCTATAAATGTTAGGCTAGTAATACTGTTGCATGGGTTTGTCGTGAGATTTAAATGGAAGCACGTGGAAAGCAAGCGTGGCAGAAGCAGCTACAGATTTAGCATCCTTCCTTTCTCCCCTTTTCCCCTCTCCCAAGAGTGTTTAAAACTGAACTTTCTTTTTCTTCCCTGTGCTGAGCCTGACTTGCTAGGGACCTGGAGACACCTGTGTAGTTGTCCACTCTTTAAGGTCCCTAAGGAGAATTTACACAAAATGCTTGATTTCCTGGAGAGAGGCGCTGATGGTTTCTCTCCTGGCTTTCCATGCAGGATGTGAGCTGCAACGAGATCACAGCGCTGCCCCCGCAGATAGGCCAGCTCAAGTCTCTTCGGGAGCTGAACGTCAGGAGGAATTACCTAAAGGTTTTGCCACCAGGTAAGGATTTTTTTAAAAAATGGGGTGGAGGGTAAGGTGAAGAAAATGGGAGACATTTATTATTTTCTCGGTTTACTTTTGTGAAGAGGGTGCATCTTATTTCGTGTGTATGCCTATTAATATTAATCATTTGAATTGCACATGCAGGTGACCGAAAAGGGATGTTAAAGTTGTAACTTCATAAATCAAGGGCCATAGTAACAAACATTCCCTTGTCTATAGTTGTGGAGGGTGGGGTGGAGGGTGTATAAGTCTGCTAAAGCTGCTATCAAAGAACCCTAGGCTGGGTGGCTTAAAGAACAGAAATTTAGGGCTGGGGTTGTAGCTCAGTGGTAGAGTGCTTGCCTCACACGTGTGAGGCACTGGGTTCAATCCTCAGCACCACATAAAAATACATAAATAAAATAAAGATATTATGTCCATCTACAACTACAAAAAAAAACCAAAAAACAGAAATTTATCTTCTCAGTTCTGGAGGCCAAAAGTCTGAGATTCTATGTGTGTCTGTGTCCTGGTCTCTTCTTACAATGACACCAAGGGATTAAATCCTAATGACCTCATTGAAGGCCATGTCTCCAAATACATTCATAGCCTGATATAGGGTTAGGATTTAGGGGCACACAAGCCAACCGTTTGTAATAGCAGCAGCATGAATTGTTTTTGGATACATGTGTGATGTTATGGGAAATGAAGCCAATAGTTTAGGGGACACGCTTAGACCTGAAAGATCCTGAAGAACCTGGCTAGCAAGATTTCTAGCCTTGGGGATCTGCGAGCCCTGGTTGTGAACCCCAGTATTCAGGTTCAGTTCTTGGTGAGGGTGCTACCCCTGAGGGTTGAGCCTTGGTCACTGGTAGTTTTGGTGAATTTCACCATGCAGGTCCCATAGCCTCAGCATTGAGACTTGGGTCTTCCTGTCCCTGAGCATGAAGAGTACCTCAGACAGCCCTGCTCTGGAAGTTGTGGGCTTCTGCAGCATGTCCCTCCAGTATGGTATATGAGGGTTCACATAAAAAGAAGATTCATTTAGATAGGCTGCTTGAAAGCAGCCCTGTTGTGGGTAATGGATATGGATTTCAAATTTGGGTTTGGGCCTGGGTCAGGAAGGAATAGATGAGCAGTAGAATGCTGAATCACACACGCTCACTTTCAAAGATCATCTTGCTTTCCATAGTTTTGGTTTGAGGAATCTAGACATACCCGATAGTCAGACATAAACTTAAAAATATATCTGATTACAAGACCAATGTAATTCTACATCATGTGCAACCAGAAGAATGAGAAGTTACATTCCTTATGTGTGTAATATGTCAGAATACATTCTACTATTATATATAACTTAAAAAATAAAACAAAAAAATCTAAAACCAAAAGCAGGTATTTGGAGGTGGTAAGCATCAGGTTCATTTGACATTAATGCACCAACTTGAGAGCTACCTGATTTTTTTATTGTCCTGTTCCCACATCTTGATCTTTGGCTTGAGCTGTCTCATTCTTCAAGGCAAGAGAACAGAGCTCATGGATTCCTGGACGACAACTTGGCAAAATGCATAGTGTTTGATGGCTGGAAGATCAGGTGCTCACCAGCCACCTCCCACCTTTCTCCTGCTGATTTACATTTTTAAAGAAGTAGAATTAGAAAGTATCTCAGTGTAAGATTTATTACTTTATTACTTGAGATGCATTCATATAAAAATAGTGATTTTTTCATCTTGTCAGCGTGCAGTCACATTTTTTGAATGTATGTAAGCTTTTCTTGGCTTATGCAAGTTACAAATGGGAGACTTTTTATTAAGAGCAAATTTATACACATCCGTTTTCACACATGAAAGAAAACTTTCCTTTAAATTGGATCCCCACGCTTATGTTTTGTGAAAGCATCACAAAAAATCGAACTCTTGATTTCCAAAAGAAAAAATGATTGACATCATTTTACAGTTTGCTGTAATAATCTAGAAGTGTTTGGAAAAAGGGTATACCTGCAAAATCTAGGTTTTTGTTTCTCTCACCTCTCCTTTTTTTAAATTTAAATTTAAATTTTAATTTTTCTATCTTTTAGTTTTAGTTGGACACAATTCCTGTATCTGATTGATTTATTTTTTATGTGGTTCTAAGGATCAACCCAGCACCTCTCATGTGCTAGACAAGTGCTCTCTACCACTGTACCACAGCCACAGCCCACCTCTCACCTCTTCTTATTCTCTCACTTGAGAAATATTCCTTTCCCTAAAAAGATCAGTCACAAATTGCTCTACTTTCCAAGATTATGTTTTCTCAGTTTTGATAATTTTAAAAATAGATTCAAAGCTAAAACTTTAGTTTCTGGAAAATCCTTGTTTAAAAAAAAAAAGAAAGAAAGATTTCCTGAGTATCCAGTTTCTTTTTTGTTTCACTCTGGAGAACTCTGTTGACAGAATAGCACTGATAATGCTTTCAGGCAGTGTGCTTTAGGAACTGTGCATATTACTTACATGTGTGTCTTCTTTGGGAACCCCTCCTCATATGCTTTCAATTTGAGGAGGGGGAAAAAAGAGAGAACTCTGTGGCCTAATTACGCATATCAATTTTGTGGTGGTTTTATACAACTACTACAACGAGGAGACCATATTTTGTTCTTTCTGGAGCCAGAATGAACAGAGGGCTAAAATATCCATTCATTGCCCCTCTTTGCAGTGGAGAGAGAGAAATGGGATTACTCCTCCTTATTCTTGTCCTCCCTCTTCTCTTCTTCTCTTTGATCCTTTTTCTTCCTTACCTTTCTCCATTTCTTTGAACCTTTTTTGGACTGTCCTTGCAGTCTCTCATTTCATTGCTGGGAAACTTGTCGAGTTCTCATGTTCCAAAGCTGCTACAGAAATTCAGCATTCCAAATAGAAACTACAAGAAAGAAAATCATCATTATCGAGTCATTCCTTTGTTTATTTCCCTGTAAGTTACATCCTGCTATTCTCGCATGAATTTAGCCCTTTAGTCTATCCTTCAGGGTTTTAATTTTAAGTGGCAAAGATCTGGAGTCCTGTTACATTCTGCCACTGATTTGATACCCTGAGTTGGGTGAGACTTGGCATTGCAGTAGGGAGGAAGCTCTCTGTTGTAATCCCCCTCATCCTTAGCATTTTTAGGAACTAGAAGAAAGGGCATCTAGCCGAGCATGGTGCCATGCACGTGTAATCTCAGCAACTTTGGAGGCTGAAGCAGGAGGATTGCAAGTTCACAGCCAGCCTCAGCAACTTAGTGAGGTCCTGAGCAACTTAGTGAGACCCTGTCTCAAAAAAAAAAAAAAAAAAAAAAAAAGGGCTGAGGACATGGCTCAGTGTTAAAGCACCCCAGGTTCAATCTCTAGTATCAATATAAAAGGGGTGTGTGTGTGTGCACACATCTAAACTTTCCTTTTCCTTTTATTTCTGTGCTTCTAAGTCCTCCGGGCTTACCTCTCTCTCCACGACAGCTGCTCCCAGCCCCTTCGTCCAAATGACCTCCATGACTAATGTGGCCTGAGGTGCTCATCCTCCTGTGAGTCCAGATGAGAGCTGTGTTTGAGCAGTGAACTAACTGCTAAGGACAATATGCAATAAAAATTCCTTGGCTTCTGGCCCAGGGGTCTCTGTTTTAAAAATACACTTTCTGAGTTTCTACATAACTCACCTATCATGGACCTGACTCTGGGACCTGAGAGTTGGGCGTGCTCCTGCCTCCTAAACTTTCAGGCCCGCCACTCCTTTGCCTAAGACTAAGTAATTCACTAAGGTATGAAAGAAGGAAAGTCCCTTCTACTCCTAGAGCATGATGAATTCTGGGAAGAAGACACTCCTGACTAGGGAAATCTCTGGTGGTGGAATTTTAAGCTGTGTTGCCAAGTAAAGTGAAAACCCTTAGGCATGGTGGAGGCAGGAGGGATATAGTGTGAATTCTTCCTTTCTGTTTGTAAGATCCTTTTCTTTATCTGGTTCTTGCCCTCCTTCACTTTGGAACTGCTGGAATATTTTAAAGCACCAAGAATCCCATAATAAGAGTGCCGGAGTCCCGTTCTGGAGTGAACCTCCCATAGCCTCTGACCGAGTGCTGAGTGATTTGCCAGCAAATCCGGATTCTGGCGTGGTTCAGCCTTTCTTTGCTCTATGGAATACATTTGACTTGTTTCTAGCAGCTGCCAATGTCGGTTTGAATGCTTGAAATTACTGAGTGTTTACTGTGCCACTGGGTGGGGATTTTAAGCTAAGTATAATGTTCCATCTTGTTAGCAGAGCTACACAGGACTTAAAAAGCAGTGGAATAAAGCCTCATCAAATCAGAATTATAGGGGCCATTGGAAAAATCCTAAATTAGACAACATTTGATAAAATCCATTTAAAAGAAACATAAACATGTTTATTTTAACTAGTTCTGGGATTATGCCAACCCAGATACATTGAATAGATAAGAATATTCTGTAATTAGCATATTATTCATGTGCTAGCAAGTGTTACTTGAAAACAGTTTAAAGTTGAAACACAAACATATCCTGTGTGACATGGCTTGCATGATTCTTTTGCTGGAAAAAAAAAGGGGAGGGGGACTTTTTAAACAATAGACATTGTAAATATCAAGTGTTTTCAGCTCTTACCAGAACTAACAACAATTACAGAGATCCCAGTGAAAGATTTTTTCCCATTTAATGAAATTCTGTGTATACATACTACGTATTCCTAATACACGACTTATTTTTGATTATGTTAAGTGATGTTTTTCCCACTAAAAAGAAAATTAAGTTGAGAATGTTTAGCCATTTGATTAGGTTGTTTTCTGAAAAAAAAAATTTTTTTTCTATTCTTTTAGAACTAGTAGATCTTCCCTTGGTAAAATTTGACTTTTCTTGCAACAAAGTGCTGGTGATTCCCATCTGCTTTAGAGAGATGAAGCAGTTGCAAGTGTTGCTGCTTGAGAACAATCCCCTGCAGTCCCCACCAGCTCAGGTGAGCCACTTCCATTATCTGCTGAATAATACTGTATCAGTTGTGATCAGAAGCAAGTGCCAAATCTGAAAAGATGAAACCCTAGGTGAATCAGACTATACTAAGTTGCCTTCTGCAGAATCCAATCTGTTTACCTGCATTTGACTCACTATTTTGACTATTCCAGCTCCAGAATTATGTATTTGATTTTTGTCATGTATACATACCTTAGAAACTTTTTCATGGAGCAGGTGATTTACAAAAGGGGTACTATGCTCCTCATTTGAATCATAGCTGCAAAATGGAGTTTAAACATCTTAAAAACTGATTATTGATTGTTTAGAGATAGGGCTCAAGCTCAGATATAAGCATAAGAACAATAAGAAGTAGATGTTCTTTCGGATGTAAATATGTAAATGTTTTCATGTTTAGTCATTTTTCAAATGACTTAAGTTCATAAACCTTCAATTATTTATAAACTGTTAATTACTTCCTTATGGGCTTGAAAATAATTCTGCTTTTATCATCTTTTGTTATTGGAATGCTGCTAGTCCAGTTATCTGTTATACTTATTACACTATACTTAAATACATCTCTGTTAGAATTTTGTAGTTTAATTTTTTAAAAAGGAATTTCTTGAGCATGGTTTTTTAGTCAAAGTAGAATTTGTAGAAATGATTCCCCAAATCCTTACATGTTTTGGAAAGGTCCAATTTAGTGTGCATAGTTAGAGTGTTACATAAACTGAAATTGTGAAAACTAAAATATGTGGTTATGTATCTGGTACTTAAAATTTGTTTTGTCATTAAAAATTTAATGTGCTTTATTAATTTCTCTGTAGATTTGCACAAAGGGCAAAGTGCACATATTTAAGTATCTGAGCATACAAGCGTGCCAGATTAAGACAACTGACTCCCTTTATCTCCACACCATGGAGAGGCCTCACTTACACCAGCATATTGAAGACAGGTGAGTCCATGCCTTCACTCAGAAAAACATCTAGGAGGCTTCCCATCTGAATTTAAATTGAGGGCTTTATTGCCTATTGTCATTATTGGTGACCACCATCCAACCCCCATGTGAGCCTATGCTATTTTAAGATCAGAATAATAAATCTATTTCTTTTTAAAAAAGGAAAAAAAATTGCTTAGGCCAAGCCTGTTCAGGTAACCAACAAAAATTTATTTGCTTCAACCACCCAATTCTACTTTATAATTCAGAGTTCAGAAACTACTGGAATAAGAAAAATTGAAGCTGTTGAGAATGTTTTGGCATCTCTTAATATCTCAGCTTTCATTTCCTAATCAATAATCAGTCCTTCCTGAGTAGTGTATGGATACATATAAGTAAGATCTATAATATAAATGTGGGCATTTTTTACTTATCAGTCAGGTAAGCTCAGACATGCCCTTTTAACAATTACTGATTTTTCAGTGTGCCTTCTGAACTTTGTTAAGAAGAACACAAGGCTTTTAAAAAATTGTTTCTCAGAAATGCAATGTGTAGTTTTTTGCCACTTCCTGTTTCAAATGGAAGTGCTGAGATCCTTTCACATGTCCTTGGGTCATTTATAGCATAAATCAGGCTTTGACCTTCCAAATGACCTTCCAAACAAAATTCCCACAATGAACACACTTGGAGAAATACAAGTCCTTTCAGAGGAGTCTCCGTTGCAGAAGTCTTTTCCTCACTTTTTCCTAAACAGGGCAACTTAAAAGACTACCCTAATTGTATTTTCAAGTAATGTTTCAAGTATGTATCCATTATTTTATGTTTGTAAAGATTCTATCAAGTTTATATAACCACCAAATAAAAGTATACAGAATTCTTGAAAACATTTTGTAAGCTAAGAGGTAAAACAGTTACGCAGTTTACTGCTTTTTTATATGCTGGAATAAATAAGAAAATTGGTAACTGTTTCAAAGAATCATGAAATCTAAGAGTGGGAAAAACTGAACATAAAGAATTTCTCTTGTATTTTTGGGTGGTACAAATCTATGATTTTTGTAGGGTCTGTGTCTTTATAATCTTTAATACTAGGCTGATTTGTTGCCTTATAATAATAATAATACAAATTTGTATAGGAAAGTAACTATTAGAATATAATTGATATATCTTGGTGTGACTTGTGCTTTTAATTTTTCCTAAATGAATTCAATATTGATGACATCTATCCCAGCAAGAAGGATTCTGATTCGGGAGTTGGAAGTGATAATGGAGATAAGCGATTATCGGCTACTGAGGTAAAACTAGTGACCAGATCTTTTTTCTTTTGTGCTAATGGATATATCTGTCCATGTTTGCTAAACTCCTTTCTGGAAAAGGACTTTGATGCATCTGCATGAGACTATGTGATCATGTTCTGTGAAAGCAATTTGAAATTCTCTAACGGTTATGCAGATATTAGCCACTCCCACATATTACCTGGAATATTCTTGAATGTTTAATAAATATTTATGAAATGACTAAATGGTATACAAGTATCCATGAAGAACTTTTAAAATATGCTAATTTTTAAGTGAACTTAGGAAAATGTTGTTATATGCATGCATAAATGTGAAGAAGTCAAGTGTAGCATTTTAGTAGTTTACTGATAGGGAGTGCATTTATGAGTAGCTGTGTTTGACAACAATAACTGTTTTCCTGAAACAAATTGTGTTCTGTTTAGTTGAATAAAAGTCTGGTTAATTTGTAAGCTAAGAGGTTTCACAGGCTAGAGAACAGATCACTGTTCATTAATACATTTATTATCTCATATCCTGTATTAGAGCCCCCCTCCCAGGTCTTACGTTAATGTACCATTAAATGGAGCTTCTTCACTGAGAGAATGAGAAGGGATAGATGTGGTCCGGGGAGCTCATCAATACTCTTTCCTTTTTTTGAGGGAAGTTACTGAGATTTTATAGTAATTAAGTCCTGAACCATCATGATCCTCTTTGAAGAATTTGTTCCTAATAGGACAGTCACCTCTCTAAGGAGATCACATTTCTGCTGTGTGACTCCAGAGGAGCCTTTCCCCAGTTCTCAGATCTTGGTGGTTTAATAGGTAGCTAAGGTTTTGGGATTTGTTTTCCAAAAAACACTCTGTAAAGCAGTGTATTAAAAAAAAAAAAGTAAGATTCCTCAACATTTTTTGAATACAGAACATTTTGAAAGGAAGAAGAGTTAGCAGAAGAAGTCCAGGGTCAGTAAAAGAAAATGGCCTACACAAAGCCACATTAATAGTTGACCAGGGTTCCCTGGTGGGGTGGCATACTAAACACAGAGCTTTCTAAGTTGCATTTTAATTTATCCCCTTTGGCTTTATTAAAACTCATAAGGCCCCTCAAATGGGCCATTGTTATAGAAACTACTCTCCCTATACTTATTTTCTATTAAGTTAAAACAGACTCTGCTTTATCCTCTATCTCCCTTCTAAAGCTAATTAAATTCATTAATAAAACATTACTCAAAGATGTTCATTATTCCTCTGTTACTCTTAGCTTAAGTAGGATGCTAATATCATTCTAAGAGGAACCTAAGGATTTATTGTCTTCCCTTTAATTCAATGCATATCTTTGGAATTTTGGTCAATTTTTAAGATGGGGGTGGTGGAGGGAAAAGAGGCTGCAGAAAGGATTATATTCTGCAGAATAAAATGTATGACTTCTCTTTGATGTTTTCTTTTCTCATACTGTAGTCTTATTACCTAAGAATGCCTCTAAGAAATTTGTTGGACTGAGAAGGGTTTTTCTTTCTCCTATGGATTGTTCTATTGTTTCTTTGGCAACTATGTTACCCCCTCCTCCACTAGTATTTCATTGTGGGCCTCAGGAATCACTTCTCATTGCCTTTCTTTGGCTATTATCATTGTCTGATTGTTTTTGCATTTGTCATGAAGAAATTAAAAATCTACTTTTTTAAGATAAACAAGCAAGAACGTGCAGAGTCCTCCGAACATTTGTTTGAAGAATGAAGTGTATGCTCGCTTCCACCAGTTTCCAAACAATCTGCTCATGTGTCCAAAAGTAAATAGGGACAAACTCTAAAGGTCCTAGCCTCAGGAATTTAGGAGCAGGTCATAATCACCTGAAATGTGTTCCGGGGAGATTTCTGGTCCCTGGGACTTAGAAACCTTTTTACTAAAAAACAACGGAGAAATGGAGACAGGAAAATTAATGAGCCTCCGTATTTCATTTTTGTTGTTGTTGTTGTTTTGTTTTTGATGGGGGTACTAGGGATTGAACTCAGGAGCACTCAACCACTGAGCCACATCCCCCGCCCTAATTTGTATTTTATTTAGAGACAGGGTCTCACTGTGTTGCTTAGCACCTCACTTTTGCTGAGGTTGTCTTTGAACTCACAATCCTCCTGCCTCAGCCTCCTGAACTGCTGGGATTATAGCACTGCATCCAGCCCATATTTCATTTGTGACAGCTTTTCTGAATAAACCTCATCAACTGCTATGGGAAAGGAATCCTCAGAGAGGACTAACTCCAATAACTACATTGAAGCTTTATTCTGAAAATCACCAAACACATGCCCTCTTTTTTTGTTTTGTTTTGTTTTAATATTTCCTTTTTTAGTTATAGTTGGACACAATACCTTTATTTTATTTATTTATTTTTATGTGGTGCTGAGGATTGAACCCAGGGCCTTGCATGTACTAGGTGAGCGCTCTATATTGACCCACAACCCCAGCCCACATGTTCCTTCTTAATGACTGCCATTGTTTGGCTCTTATATATAGCGCAGCTTCCTCAGCCTGAACCAAGGAGATAAACTGAAGCTTAATGTCACATGTAAAAGGCAGGCTGAGTAAATAAGATACTATCACAGATCTTCATAGCCAGCTCTTTATGGCTAGCCAGATGAAACTCACATGTAGTTTTGGTAAATTAGCCTTGTGTTCAGGTCTCACAGTGATTAAAGTGATTGGTTGGACTTAGGCCTAAGTTATATATTATTAGGAATAATTATGAATTACTATAATATTTGGATATTACATAGTCCTTTTTAGTACCCTTAATATGGGTTCTTAGTTAAGAAAAACGTAGATAGCTGACAAGAGTTCGCTCAGAACATACATAAGAGAAGTGCATGTGTACCATCAGTGTTAGTGACCCAGCTTCCACAGCAAGAAACCATTTTTCCAGTACCCCAGAAATCCTGGCTCATGCACCCACCCTTACCCCAAGAACACCCACTATCCTGAGTTCAAATGCCATGGAAGCAGTATTCTGGTTTTCAACTTCAACAGGTAGAATTGTCCTTTGTGTCTGGCTTCTCTTACTCAACATAATGTTTGCAAGGATCACAGGATATTGTTTTAATACAGTGTTCTCTTTTTTTCCATTGATAAAACTCACTTGGATGAAACTGTGTGCTGTATCTTTTCAGCCTTCTGATGAAGACACGGTTAGCCTTAATGTGCCAATGTCAAATATCATGGAGGAAGACCAGATCATCAAGGAGGACCCGTGCCATCGCCTTAGCCCCAATAAAGGTCTGAGGGAAGAAGTGCTTGTTTTCAAGTTTCAAAGGTTATGTTTAAAATAACACATGCACAAATGTGGCAGTGATAATAGTTAATGTTTATTGCACATTACCCCTGATTCAGGCATTGTGTTCATCTGGAAAGGAGATTTTTAAAATTCAGACTGCTGAGATAGATATTCTACTCATCTCCATTTTATACAGGAGAGAGCCAAGTGTCAGAGAGTTTGAGTAACTTGCCGGTACCACGTCCTACAGTAAATAGTAGAATTATTCACATTATGGAGGTTTACAAAAGATTCTTTAAATCCATTTTAGGAAAGAAAATTTTGAGATGGTAGATATATTAGTTAGGACAACCTTAGCTGCTGTCACACATAAAATCCCCCAGTATCAGTGATTTAACACAATCCAGATTAAGTCCAAATGGGAGTTAGTGAGTTAGTGATGTACAGGGAACTCCACTCCAAGCTTTGATTCAAGGACTCATTCTACTTTTGTCCTGTGACTCTCTTTTGTTAATACAGGACTAAGATTCCTGTCCCACAGTCTTCCTTGAGATTAAACAAACAATTCCTCTGTTTTAAACCAGAAGGGAAAGAACATGGAGGTTTGCTGGCAGGGGTTTGTTGCTAGTAATGGTCCTGGGAGAGTGTCCATTACTTACTTACAAGCTAGACTTCAGTTCACAGCCACATCTAACTCCACATGAGGGTAGCTAATGTAGTTCAGGAACTTTCTTGACTTTGGACAAGTCAGTTGATTTTAATTACCTCCCCTATGGATGAGATAATTTGATTAGGTAACTGCTGAACTTCATAGCTCCCAAGTTGCTCTTCTTCTTCTTTTGGTACTGGAGATTGAACCTGGGGGTGCTTTAACACTAAACCACATCCCCAGCCCTTTTTATTTTTTTACTTTGGGACATGGTCTTGCTAAGTTGCTCAGGACCTCACTAAATTTCTGAGGCTAGCCTTGAATTTGGGATCCTCTTGCCTCAGTCTCCCAAGTTGCTGGGATTACAGGTGTGCATCACCATGCCCAGCTCTGTTGTTGTTAAATAATCATGAAATGATCACCAAACATGGAGGCTTGCAGACGTTCAAAATCCTTGTAACTAATTTCATATCAAGTTACATTATTATGATGACTGTTTCCCAATGACTTTTAGGGAAAATACTAAAGTTCGATGTTTTCTGATTTGTGGCACAAAGGATTTCATGATGCAGGAATAATAAAGAACAAGGTTAATATACAGATTATCTCTGTGATAGTTTAAGAATGCTCACATTAATAATGAGAGAGTTGTTTAAAGCTACTCAAAATTTGATGTTTGCTTCTACTACTTGGATTTAAGTTTTTAAGTTCAGCGCTTAAGGTTAGCATTACACGTAAGAAGATCAGCATTAAACTTATGATTGGAAGCATACATTGTCCAAAAATAGAACTGTTTCCTTGCCTAATAACTGCCATTGTATTAATGAAGGCAAAACTGTGACATTATGCAAAACAGGAGGGCATTTTAGGCAGAATTTTCAAATTAAAGGATTAAGAAATCTGCTATTAGGGAGCCCCCCCCTTTCAACCTGTTCTGGGTGAGGGTATCTTGCTGGTTATGTGAGTGCTTGAAGCAGAACGTTTTTAGTCTTCAGATTGGTCAGAAGAGTTCCTCATACTGTTTCTTTTGCTTCTCCTTCATCCCTTGGAACATGTTCCCCTTGGTTGTGCCCCACCTAAACATGCCTGTACCCCTGTGGGACTTTTTTGCAGTCATTTCTGTTTGCTAGGATTGGGGGCTCTTGTCTAGTCCTGTCCCACAGTCTTCCTTGAGATTATCTGCTTCCTAAGGACAGAGTCATATTTGACTGATTCTTTTAAGCCCCCAAGTGTATTGCATAATACCTGCCAGTTAGCAGCTGCTAATTAAATATTTGTTGAACCTGGAATTTGAAACAATTACTCAAAAGAGGACACAGAAGCCCTCTTTTATAATTTGTTTTTTCAATTTCTTAAAAGAGTAAGAGGAAATTTTGTTTCTCTCATGATGAACCAAGCCACAAAGAGGTCTTGACTTTGTAAATTCAGTTGGAGACTTTCATTTAATTTTGTTCCTCTCCCATTTTTTAAAAAATCTTTTCCTCAGATTCTATAGGGAAAAGAAAATCTGGGTCATTCCTATACCTCTGTAATAACTAAGAGAGGAGGTGAAAACAATTAGATGATGTGTTTGAGGATCGCTGTGCTTTATGCTTCCGTCACGAAATCATGCTTTCTTCCTTTCTCCGTATTTCCCTAATAGGGGAATTTCATCAGGAATTTCCACCAGAGCCTTCCCTTTTGGGGGACAACAACAACTCAGGAAAACAAAGAGACCAGTTTGCTGATGGGGCAGATGTTCTTCATTCGGGATTTATGAACTATATTAAGGTAAGGTTTTGAGGATCAATTAATTTTTCTTACTTGCATTCTTCTGTTGGGCACTTCAGAACTTAAGTTCAGGGTTTCCAATCCATCACCTTCAAAGTCCCTCTTGCTGTGGCCTGCCTGAAGCCTCCAGCACATCTTTTCAAAGCTCAGTGTGTCTATTTTTTGACATTCAGAACTGCTTTTCGCCCGGTATGTCTCTGCGTTTACCTGCTTATGCATATGGATTTTGTGTTGTTTTGGTTTGTTTTCAGAAATTGCTCAGTTTTTCCACTATTCACTGCATCACGTAAGTTAGTCAACTTACCAGAATTACCATTATCACTCAACTTACCAGAATTACTATTATCACTCGCTCAGTAAAAGCTAAAACAGTTTCATGCTGCTCAGTATGTTCTAGATGAGTACTTAGCTTGAGATACAGATGGAGTATCCCTTGTCTAGAGTGCTTGGGACTAGAAGTGTTTCAGATATTGGAGGTTTTCAGATTTGGAAGTTTTGCATAGATTTTGCTAGTTGAACATTCCTAATCTACAAATCTGAAACCCAAAGTTTATTAACAAAAATTTTCAGATTTTGGAACCTTACAAGGTTTCAGACTTCAGTCAGGCATGGTGACACATACCTGTAATCCCAGTGACTTGGGAGGCTGAGCCAGGAGGTCTACAGTTTCAAAGCCAGCTTGAGCAGCTTAGCAGGTGAGACTCCAAGCAATTTAGACCCTGTCTCAAAATAATAAAAAGGTCTGGGGATATAGTTCAATGGTAAAGTGCCCCTGGGTTTAATCCCTAGTACTCTTCCCCCTGCCCCAAAAAAGGGAAAGATTAAATTCAGATTTCCAAGCATTTTGGATTTCAGATTTTTGGATCAAGGATGTATAACTTGTTATGTCCTTAGTGTCCAGAGAGAAGTGGAGACTTAAAATCTGGAGGTAACTCTTCCTTTGTGGATAGGTCACTCCAAGGACATGTGTTCCTGAACTTTGTAGTTGCCCTGAAGTATTGAAAGGGCAGTGAAGTCCCCAAGGAGTCAGGAAGCCCTAATTCTGGTAGAAAAAGGGAGGAGAGAAAAACTAGGCCTGTGCTGATTTGCAGTCAGGCTCAGCTACTTGATGATCTGATTAGATGCCCTGGTATGTTCTACCCATCCTTTTGGTTCAGGTTGAGGATTCCTGTTTTGGTGAAATAAAGTCACTGTGGCTTGTGAGAGGTGCTCATCTTTGAGTTACTATGTTGAAGCCAAGAATGGGATCTCTAGGTGACCCTCCTTAGACTCTTGAGGAGCCTGTTAGCAGGGCTGGACTAGCCTAAACGAGCATCTCTGGGTGTCACCCTCGAGGAGAACTGTTTGAGACCTGTGTGCTCAAGCCATCAAGACAAAAATAATGGACCTGCCATATGTGTGTGGAATATGACCATCAACCATGATTACAAAAGCATATAGAAGGATAAAACAGGAAAGCTAACTCTTTACTCTGTGTCTCTACTTTGTCATTAACCTGTCGAGTCTCATTTATGCTTTCCATCTCCACTGACCCATGGGCATTGCTTTGGTTGAGCCTCATTGTTTCTTAAGTTAATGGCTGTAGGAGCCCCCTCCCTTCTGCACTACCTTGTGTGCCGTGTGCGTGTACACACACACACACACACCATGTTCTGCCACCAAACCTTTTCTTGAAATACAAATCTCATCACATCACTGACAGGCCAGTGGTTCTCACAAGACTCTTCCAGATTTCACCACTGTCTATCAGCTTTATGGGACAATTCAGTCAGGAAAACATAGAAAATTAGAGGACTTTTCCCCTTCATTTCCCCTAAAGATAGAAATTTTGAAGAATATATTTCAAAGATGCTTAAATTTAAAGTTTTTTGTTTGTTTGTTTTTTTTTTTTGGTGTTGGAATTTGAACCCAGGGGTGCTTGGACTACATCCCAATCCCAGCCCTTTTTATTTTTTTATTTTGAGATAAGGTCTTAGTAAATAAGGCTAGTCTTGAACTTGCAATCCTCCCGTCACTCAGATTACAGTTAGGCCCAACAAATATAAATTTTGAAGGAGATAGTGGTTAGTAAAGAAAAGCATGCTATTTCAGAAAAACGAAGTTCCCTAGATTCAGAGATTTCAGGAAGCGAATCACCCCATGAACAAGTCTGCTCTAGGGACTAGAGCTAGTGGCCAGACATTTTAGCAGTGAGAAGGGATGAGGAAGTCAATTTGGCAAATGTTTCCTGGAAGACCTTTGTCCTGGAAAGTCAAGAGGGGAATGCTAATTATGAAGTAAACCCTAAACTTATAAGGGCAAGGATAAGTTGTGTGTTGAAAATCAGGCCATGTCTGGCTTGACTTCCACCACTTTAGCATCTATGAATATGTGCCTGAGGCCCCCAAGTGTGCCAGACCACTCAGTGCCTGGACCAGCAGTTCTGTTTTACATTATCCTGTTTTGTTTACTGAGTTAGCATCTTGTATTTTGTAACTGCACTCGATTTTCATTCTTCATGGTAGTCGATAGTGTGTGACATCACTATGCATATTAAATTTTCCAGTACTGAGCCATCGCTCTAGAGAAAAGACAAGTGCCTGTGAGTCATCAATGAGTGACCTTATTTTATGTGTTTCTGTTTCACGACACCACACTTTATATAGTTATTTGTCACTTAGTGATGGAGTTGAGTCTGGAGAAATGCGATATGGAGCAGTTTCATCATTGTAAAAACTGCACAGAGAGTGCTCCAGAAACCAAGGTGGCTCCAGCATTACTGGGTGATATAGCCCTGTGGCTCCACTATTATGTAAGTGGCGCATCCTCAACTGAAATGTCATCACGTGGCACATGACAGTCTGTCACTGGTTCATCACCATCGAACTCAGGGCCCATAGCACTGGAGTGCGTGCTTACCTTGCCACCTGTATGTCCTCTGTGAGGCACATCAAAACCTTTCTCGGCTTTGATAGCACTAGATAGCATTTGGCACAATTTTTAAGCATAAAGAATATGAAATTGTGGCACTGTATAGACTATGACAAGCAAACTTGTCTAGACGTGGGAGCTGAAACAAGAATGCAGTGCCCCTGTTCCACCTCAGTGGGAACCTGTGTGTCCTTGGGCTCATCTTTCATCACCCTGCATGTGTCTACAGATGGCTCAGAAGCACCACAACGAGTACTGGTTTGGGGACTACCAACGAATAATTTGAGTAGGCAAATCTACAAACAGAATTCACTGTATAGCCATCTGACTTAGCAAAAGAAGCTCAGTAAAACTGGTTCTGCACTTTGAAAATCATGAGATGTTTTATGCTCTCAGCTACTTTTTATCTTGAGACTGAAAACTGGAAGGAAATACTCCTGTCTCCTATAGTTGAAACCAATAAGAAGGACTAGACCACGTTCCCTGGGTCATTCCTGGCAGTATATTTTCACCTATGAATTTCTCTGTCATTTGGAGAGCAGCGTGGCCATTTATATAGTTAACTTTATTGCACACTGAAAGTAGAGTCAGGGCAGCAGAGGCCTGAGTGTTGTTGATCCAGAGGCCACATTGAGGGGCTGGCCTCCTCCTCAGGGCCAGCGTCATCTTCATGACATAGCTGCAGACTCTGCTGCTCCTGCATTAGTTAAGGATATGCCCCAGCCCTTGACACTCTGGGGCAGCTTCCGTTCTTGCATTGACCTGGTTAAAGCAGTGTTTTCTCTGTGTCAGAGGCAAAAGTGCAAAGAAGGGAGGCCCCCAGGGTCAGTTATCTCAGAATTTGCTTCTCCTGGGGTCTCTTCAGGAAACATTGCAGGGGGTGGGTTGCAGTGCAGAGAGGACATTCTTTGAGTGAGATCTGGATAATGTGCACATGAAAATTATTGGGCTATTGGATATCTCTGAGGCATTTTTCTGTCATTAAGTACTTTTACCTTTTTTTCCCCAAAACACATACACAGGGAGAGGCACAATCCCAGGCTTGCACACACCCCCTTTGTCTCCTCTCACAAACACATGGATGCACATTCATATGTGACTCAGGAACTCAAGGAGGCATCTGTCAACACAAGGAGGTGCTAAAAGAGCAACAAGGAAACCGATTCAGCTTTATTGTTTTTATTCTTGTTTTAATCCTCTTTTGGTGAGCAGGGGGTTACCGGGAATTGAACCCAGGGGCACTCAGCCACTGAGCCACATCCCCAGCCCTATTTTGTTTTTTACTTAAAAACAGGGTCTATCTCGCCTATTGCTGAGGCTGGCTTTGAACTCTCGATCCTCCTGCCTCAGCCTTCCCAGCTGTTGGGATTGATTACAGGCTAATTATCTCATTTTTTAATTAGTACAAAATACATGTAACATAAAATTATCATCTTAGCTGTTTTGTCACCATATAATTCAGGGTGTGTTAAGTACATTCACCATCTCCAGGACTCTCCTCATCTTGGAAAACTGAAATCTGGTGCCTGTTGAACAGCTCCCCCTTCCCTTTTCCCCTGGTCCCTGGAACCACTATTTTACTTTCTGTTTGGAGGAATTTGACTCTTTGGGTACCTCACGTGAGTGGGACCATACAGCACTGTCCACCTGTGATGGCCTTATTTCACTTAGCATAGTGTCCAGGTATACAACAAATGCGAGACTTTCCTTGTTTTTAAGGCTGACTAATCATTCACGCGTATCCATCACATTTTGTTTATCCATTCATCCATTGATGTGCACTTGGCTTGTTTCTATCTTTCGACTGTTGTGAATAAGGCTGCCATGGATATGGGCTGGGGCAGGCTTTAACTCTTCACTGAACAACCAGTGGTTCTCAGAAACCATATGTTCTGTCTACAGGACAGGGCAGAAGACTGTGAAGAGCTGTTACGGATAGAAGAGGATGCCCACTGGCAGACAGAGGAAATGTGAGTGCCAGAGACCCAGTTCAAATACACTGGCAACCCTGTCCTGGTAGAATTTTTACATGCTTTTCTTCGGGTGATATTGATTAAGAAATTCCCAATTTCCCTCTGCCTGATGTTTGTCACAAGTATTGCACAATAGTGTGTCTTAGACTGTTTTGTGCCACATAACAGAATGCCACAGACTGAGTAATTTATGAACAGTGGAAGTTTATTTGGTTGACAATTCTGGAGACTGAGAAATCCAAGATGGAAGGGGCCTGCATCTGGTGAGGAACTTCTGTGGCATCGTAATGTGGCAAAAGATATTGTGTAGCAAGAGCATGAGGGTTAACCCACTTATGAGGGTAGAGACCTCATGACCTGATCCTCATAGAGGCCTCAACACTATTGTCTTATAGATTACATTTCCAACATGTGAACTTCGGACAAGTTCAAACCACAGCACAGTGCAAAGTTGGACCTCTTTGTTGGCCTTGAATTTTATCTGATTTGAGGCTCTGGGTAGAAATGTAATTCAGAGAATTAGCTAGAATGTCTAGAATGGAGATTGCCATTTGCTTTCCTTTACCTGAAAAAGCCAACAATTGGACCTCAGGTGAACTACGGGGTCTTCTGGTTTGGGGAGAGCATATACCTCTAATGTCCTGGTCCCAAATCTGATAAGTGTCATAGCTTATGTTCACTAAACACTACATGCCAGGCACTGTCCTAAATACTTAACAGGTTCACAATTCATTTGGTCTTCACAGTAATCCTATGAAGATAAGAATTTTTTAAACATTGACACAATATCTTTATTTATTTTATTTATTTGTATGTGGTGCTGAGGATCAAACCCAGTGCCTCACACATGTGAGGCAAGCACTCTACTTCTGAGCTATAACCCCAGCTCTGAAGATGAGTTCTTTTGTCCCCTATTTCAAAGATGATAAAACTGGGGCCCAGAGAAACTGATTTTTGTACTTCCAAGGTCACAGAGGGCCACCATTAACCTCGAGCAATCTTACACCAGATGAATATCCCCTCCAGTCTCTTATTAATAAAATATTTATTTAGCAAAATTTATAAGGGAGGAAGTGAGTGATTTTTTTTAAGTTATAGATGGACACCAGTCTTTATTTATTTTTATGTGGTGCTGAGGATCAAACCCAGTGCCCCACGCCTGCAAGGCAAGTGCTCCACCCCTGAGCCACAATCCCAGCCCTCAGATGAGTGATCTTATCAGATGAACCATTTCTGAGGAATTTGAGTTTGGACCATGTGACATAGATTAGAGTTTTGGTTCTCAAGATTTTGTTTTCCATGATCTGGGTTGTTGATCTGAGCCTTCCACTGAACCTTGTGATTATAGAACCTTAGACTCACAGGGAAAATTAGATAAAGCTTTAGAAACTCTGTTCTCAAACTCACATCTGCTGTTCACAATGCTGCTTACAAAAATAGGATCATCCGTAGAGCTTTATAAAATGACCAACCCTATTTGGGGTCAGACCTACTTGAGAGTATCTGGACTGGCCTGTTGTTTTAAGCCACACAGATGATTTTGCTGCACATAAAGCCTGGGTTGAGAACCACTCTCCTATACCATGCAATGTGAAGCCCACACTGTATGAAAGAACAAAATTGAGCCCAGATGGTTTAACTGGTGTTCAGAGTCTTGAGGTAGTACAGACGGTGCAGTGGAACCCTCAGGAAACCCCATGGAACCCAGGAAAGCACACTGTGAGCCCCACCCATCTTGTCTATTGCCTGATTGTGCAGTGGGGGACCAGGGGCTTCAAGCTGAGCTGAACTGAGCTTTCCCCACCCAGTGGCTCTCTGGCACCCTGCCCTCCAGGGTACTGACATGTCTTCATTGTAATATTGAATCTGTCAAAATCATTTCCATCTGTTAGATTTTTATAAGTTTACTTTTAAGTTTACTCATGTTTTAGTGATCAAGTTTTCATGCTTCGTACTTGGTTTTATGTTACAGAATAAGTTCATCCAAAGATCAGGACATGGATATAGCAATGATTGAGCAGCTGAGAGAAGCAGTAGATTTGCTGCAAGATCCCAATGGGTATGCTTGTCTTCCTTTAGCCCAGGTTTCCTGTGTAGTTAATGCCTACCAATCTAATGAGTACCTTATTTCAATTTTTAAAATACTTATATACACATTTTGGTACCAGTATAACCACTGATGAAGTAAAAGTCATTTTAATTACCAGTTTCCCAAGATTCAAAAGTGAAAGAGTCAGAATTTTGCAGAGATGGTGGTCAATTCCCTATTTTAGCTCTTAATGGAATTCATTCACCTCTCATGAAATCCACATGGGATTTTTGGTACAATACTTAGAAAACAGAAATATGGCAAAAGAACGTAAAACTTTTTTTGTGTGTGTGTGAAGATTTTTTTTTTAAGAACATGAAACTTAAGCCACTGATTTACAGAAATACAAGGAAATTTTTTCTAGAATGAAGATTAAATAAATAAACATTACTATTTTTATTTCTGATAGTACCAAAATACAAGTAACATATAAACAATAATATATATATAATATAATCTTTAGAAATCTAAAGATTTGGATTTCTGAATTTGAGTTGGCCTTTGTCGATAGCGGACGCTATATGCAGTGGGTAGTTTTTGTTTGTTTCTTAGGTAAGGATAATGGAATTCCCATGGACAAAATATTTTTCAGTAAGACAATATCAGGTATCAGATAATAACTATAAGACCACTAGAGAAACAGACCCAAAGCTTGTCTGTTGTGAAATGTCCAAGAGTCCTGGGAATTATGTGAACATGGTGTGGTCTTATAATATGGTGAACTTGGGAATCACACCACAGCACTCTTATCTGGGTTCTGGGAATTTATAATAAAGGTGGTTAGTGAATGCAGAGTGCTTTCAAGAATATTCCCAACAATATCATCTGGCATTTGAAAGAATGATGGCAGGTCAGGTTGAGTTTGACTGGAAATCTTTAGCAATTGATTTGAAAAGCACTTCCATTCTGCAGACACTCACTGAGTGTTTAGAACATGATTTATGGTGTGTACCTTGGGGGATATAAAGATGAACAAGACCCAGCTCTTTCCTTCCAGGCATTTCTAGTATTTTTTCGCTTTAGAAGTTTGGATTGATTAATATATAACCCCAAAGCAAAACAGAGTAGCCCACATGGGTGACATAGCAGTGGCATGGGATGCAGGGCTGGAACCATAGGGAGACATGGGTGCCCTGAGGAAGGGGCTCCGAGTTCTGGGCCTTAATCTCCTGCTCTGATGAGGAGTAGGTTGAACCGAGGAGCTCCGACTCTTCCGCAGTTCTGAAATGTCTGGAGCCACAAGTTGTGCCGATGTGGATGGGATGGTAGGTGTAGCTGCACTCTGGAAGAGCCCGGAGGAATGTCCCTGGCCACACGTGGTTTGCGTCTTTATTAAGTGCTATGTTTAAATCATAAATGTTGAAACATTTCCTGTGGAGTTCATTTCCTCCCTAAAATAATCCACTACTTTGGCTACTTTAGATTTTGTTATTTATTCTGAAATAACTACTATAAGTCTGATTTTCTAACAGTATTTTTGTAAGCCAGTGTAATCCTGTTAAAGTAGAAGTCCTTCTTGTTTTGCTTCTGATAAAGAGAGGGAATTCAAGACATGTTTATTTCTAGATTTTAAAATATTAACAATAAACATGTTTACATACATATTGGGTTTCTCCTTTATCTCACAGTTCATAGATCCAGGGGTTTTTTTTAGGTCCAGAAACTTAAGTGGAATATGGCTGTCCTGTTTTTCTTTATTTCGTTTTCTTCTCTAGGCCTTCTCAGTGTTAGTGTGGTAACATTTTCATAGGCATATTTATTATATTGTGTTAAATTATTATAATTATTATATTATTGAATTATATATGCAAAGATGGCTTTATAATTTTTCTATCGCTTATGGATTTCCTGGCTTCATTGTTCTTTGAAAAAAAAGAGCAACTTACCTCTTAAAATTGCGTAATTCAAAAAAACTATACCTGAGACAATTTCAAAAGTAAAAAATGTGTATCAAATTGATTATGATTTATTTTTCCTTTTTGGGAGTGGGGAGGATGCTGGGGGTCAAACCCAGGCCTCCTGCATGCTAAGCAAGTGCCCTAGGACTGAGCTTCACCACAGTTCTGAATTCTTATTTTATAATTGAGAGGATTAAGTTTATACCACAAAGGTCTTCCCACCAGAACCAAATGTTGTTGGCACATATGTTTATTTGTAGTACTCTTAGCAACTTCTGTAAATTAATGAAATTCTAGAATAAAACTTAGTATATGCTACCTATGAAAATTGGGATTTTTATTGGAAATTTCTCTTACATTGTGAATCAGTTGGATTTCAATACCAGTAACAGATGGAAAATTATATTTTGACCCCCCGTGGGATGGGAAATGCCATACAGTTTTTCATTTTTGTCATAAACCCTTCTTCACTTAATCTTAGATAAACACTGCTTTTCATTATATAAAGTTTTAAACTAAATATGACCAGGAGAATTTATAACAAGTTTAATAAATATACTGACATTTCTTCCCCCTTACTTTTTAGATTAAGTGCAGATATTACTGAGAGAAGTGTTTTAAATCTGTATCCTATGGGATCAGCAGAAGCCTTAGAACTACCAGATTCTGCACTTAAGTATGTTTGCCTTTTTATAACTAAAGATATTTCTCTTTTGACATTGAAGTACTTATGCTTTAAATTCTACCTTATGTCTTCCTTTTTCTTTCCTTGTGCCCACAGTGGTCAAATGCAGCTGGAGACATCCCCAGTGTGTGAGGTAAGACTACAGCACTGAGCAGTGCTCTTTCCAGAATACTCTACCACATTCTGTAAAGATCTGTCCGGGGAAACATTTTTATGAGTGAGACCAATATCCATGTTTGTCCAAGACACATTTTTCAGTGTTTGTATACTTTCCTTCTCTTAATTCTGCTTCTCTGTTATATCTCACCTTCTATTAAAGATGAGAGATGGCTATTTCTCATAGATTCTTTAAATTTTTTTATAAAAAGTTGCACTGAGTCAGGTGTCAACCGCTGTGATGCATGGGAAACCTGCTCTTTGTTAGAAACTGGAGCTAGGTCCATGTAGTATAGATTTTGGACCCTAGGAAGAAATCTGGCTAGAAAAGACCTGAAAAGCAAGAGCAATTGAATTTCTGTGTGGTGTTAGGAAGATAAGAGATTATTACAAGCTGGGTGTGGTGGCACACACCTGTAATCCTACCAACTCAGGAGGTTGAAGCAGGAGGACCACAAATTTGAGGTCAGCCTTGGCAACTTAGACCCTGTCTCAAGATAAAAAATAAAAAGGGGCTGGGAATGTAGCTTAATAATAAAATGCTGCTGAGTTCAATTCTCAGGGCTGAAAGAAAGAAAAAAGAAAAAGGAAAACAAAAATCTAAAAGAGAATATTATAAACTGGTGGGGGTGTTTGGGAGCAGGGTGAGGGTAGATTAGGTAGAGTTACAGGGGTTTGAGTGGCTCTAGAGAAAGCAGTTTTGACATAAAACTAGAGATGAGCCTAAAAGGTCCCAAAGAAAGATTGTTACCCCAGTTACGGAGAGAGAGGTTTGCATGATGATTTGGGAGTTATGGCCTGTTTAAATCTGTTTTATCCCTTCTTTGTGAATGGGCTTAGGGTGGCTAGTTTAGGTACCCAGATTATATACAAACCAATCTATTCCCCCTGTGGTGTTTACACGTGTATTACCAGTAAAGCTTCATACCCTTTAACTATTAAAAGTTCCTGTGTGCAAGAAATATGGAAAAAAGAACTGTACAAGAGAGTATGAGAACTATTCCCAGAGAGTATGGTTTCATTGTTAAATGCAGTGACTTGGAATGATGTGAGCTATAGCCGCGTCCCGAAGACTTGCTAACTCTAGGCTAGCTAATTAACCTCTCTAAACTTAACCTTCATTTTCAGTAAATTGGGATCATAATAATAGCTATTGTAAAGCTTAAATAAGATGATTCAGAACGGCCTCACCATACAGGGCGCCTAAGTGCTGGCTGTTCACCTCCTGCTCTGTTATTGTTATTGGTGTGGTCTCTAGAGGGAGCGGGTACCACTGCTGCTCTGGGTTGAGGCAGCATTGAACTACTCCAGTAGCAGAGCATCAGGAAGCCTTTCATTAGCAGGCTGTCCTGGATTCATGGCCTCAAGTTTCCATTTGAGATTGATTTGGTTCTCTGCACACTCATGTTTTTTTTTTTTTTTTTTTATGTTTCTTATTTGGATATGATTTTAACTTTACAAAGGAGTGCATAGATAAATAATAAAATAATAAATAAATAAATAAATAAATTACAAGGTTCTACAAAATGTTGCAAAAAAATTACAGTCTTGTACCTAGATTTACTGATTACAGGTTGAACATCCCTAATCTGGAAATCCAAAATCCAGGCACTCTAACATCCGAAACTTTTGAGCACCAACATAATGCCGCAAGGGGGAAATGCCACCTCTGACCTCATGTAATGAGTTGCAGTCAAATTACAGATATTACTAAAAATATTGTATTAAATTACCTCAGGCTAACTGTAGAGAAACATAAATGAGTTTTGTGTTTCGACTGGCGTCCCATCTCAAGATACCTAATTATGCAGTTATTCTAAAATCCAAAACACTTCTGGTATCAATAATTTTGGATAAATGATTCTCAACTTATGTTAACATTTGGCCACATTTTCTATATTTTATATATATATATATATATATATATATTCTATTCCTATATTATATCCTATATTATATTCCTATATATTATTAATTTCCTCTCTTTCTTTCTCCCTACCACCTGCACACACACATTGGGTGTTTTTTTTTGTAAGTTTTATACATCATTGTCCTTTATTCCTAAACATCTTGGTGTATATCTTCTAAGAATATGGATTTTATCTTAGGTAACACATGCCAGTTATCAACTTCATAAATTTACATGGATAACCTATTTTTATCCAATCTGCTATCTACACATGCAATTTTATCAACTGTTCTAAGATGCTTTCAGATCATTTTTTTCCCTATCCAGTATAGGATCTAGTTTTCAGATATATATATATTCCTGTATGCAATGTTTTTGTAACATTTCTTTAATTTTTATGACCTTCAAAATTTTAAGAACTCAAATTTCCTCTTTTTAATGGAATGTCCTTCATTTGGTATTTATCTTACATTTCCTCGCGATTGGTTTGAGGTTCTGTGTTTTTATTTGGGATGCTGCTCAGGTGATGATGTTTATCCTTCTCAGAGTATGTTAGGGGCACACAAAAAATGTCCATCTGTCCCTCATGGATAATTTTAATTTGATCATCCAATTGAGGTATAACTCCATTTCTTCACTGTATAATTACGGTTTCATTTTTCTTTTGCAACTGATAACTAGTCTGTGGAGAGAGGTATTTAAAGACCATCTTAGTATCCTGCTACAGAAACACTTTTGACACTAGTGAAAAAGGTGGCCACTTGTGTGCATGATTTCAGGAGTGTCAGGAAGACCCAAAACTTCTAGTTAGAAGGTAACTCTCCTTCATCTCTGATGGAGAATTGGCTGGTCATTCCAATAATTTTGTCTTTGATTAAAATGTGTATATTCCTGACCAAAAACAGAAGAGGTCTTGCTAGATGCTGGACCATGTTCTTTGTATCTATTATCATTATAGATGCTTCTCAACTTACAGTGGGGTTATACCCAATAAATGCATGAAGTTGAAATAACTAATGAATACAGTGAAGTTGAAATTATTGCAAGTCAAAAATGCATTTAATATACCTAACCTACTGTAGACATGCTCAGAAAACTTACATTAGCTTGAAATTGGGCAGAATCATTAACACATAGCATATTTTATAATAAACTGTTGAATATCTAAGGTAATATATTGAACGCTGCCCTGAACCTCAAAAAACTGCCAATTACAGTAATAATTAAGAATTGCTATTGATATTAAGCATTTGGATGGTTTAGAAAGAAATGTTTTAAATGCCCCATTCCCTTCATTTAAGTGCAAGATAGTTTCAGCTTCCTCATCAGCAAAGATGAACTAGATCTTTGCAGTCAGGTTGAGATTTTTGAAGTGGAATTTTACTGCATATATTGATCCTGTCTTTGTTTCCTCCTGTGTCTTTCTTTGTAGCATGGCACAAGCACTTAGCATTTTCACTTGAAGGGGGACCTAGCACAGTACCTAGTAAACAGTGAGTGTTCAGTGAGGGTTTGTGGAAGGGTGGGAAACAGGAAGGGAGAGAGAGGGGAAATAGTAAGAAGTGGCTTTGGAGCCTGGGCACCATGGTGCATGCCTGTAATCCCAGTGGTTCAGGAGGCTGAGACAGGAAGATGGAGTTAAAAGCCAGCCTCAGCAAAAGCAAGGCCCTAAGCAACTCAGTGAGACCCTATCTCTAAATAAAATACAAAATAGGGCTGGGGATGTGGCTCAGTGGTTGAGTGCCCCTGAGTTCAATCCCCAGTAACCCTCTCCCCTCCAACATAGAAGTGGCTTTGGTCTGCAGAACTTCAGCATCCTGCTCATTAGATGTAGAGACCCTGGATGCAGTAGCTGAAACAACCCATCATTTAAGGAATACTAAATATTGTGTTACTCTGATGACACATCTTTGTGCTTGTGTACATTGAAACTGATCTGACACTTTTCTGCAGGATTTTGAAGCTTCATGGGTTTTCTTTAAGTTTACCCATGTTTGCCCTCATTACATTATGTAGAAAAGCCATGTCCCCTTCAGGAGGGAAATTTGACTTCCAAGTCATGTGTCAATCATTCAAGCAGCGCAGTCACCCCAGCGGCCTTTAATAACCAGTTGTTTCTTCTATCAGCTATTAAATCAGGGGACCCTGAGCTGAAGTCCTACACAAGGCCCATGCCGGGACCCTGAGGGTCTTTAAGCAAGTCACTGCACTTTTCTCCAGAGTGAATTTTCTGCTCTGGCCAGACAGATTGTGTTAGCATTCTGAACACACAGAACGAGCCAGGTCCAGCCTACCTTGGCAACTATTTGGGCCTGCTCCCTAAAATGTTCTTCAACTTTCAGTCCTAAAGATTTTTTTTTTAAAGGAACATACCTGTGTCCAGGATTTTAGAGGTACCAGAAAGGCACAAAAGTTTTAGGAAAAAAGATAGCTGTACTTCATCTATATTCAAACTATAATGTTTTCTGGTATTTTAATATGTTTTTCTTCTTTGGTTGAATCGAGAAGTTATATTTGGTGTAACCTAATTTTATTCCCTGTCTTCCTGGGGCAACTCTCTGTCCTTGACAAACATACCCCCATAAGTTTAAAAAAAGAAGTGGGGATAGCTGGCTCTGGTAGATAAAGGACATCATGAGAAGAAGGAAAAGAAAAGAAAGTGGTGAATTCTCAAGGTGGTGACGGTCATGCAGAACTTAAATGTGACCCTCATGTGTGATTTGGTGGTTTTTACACCACTCTTCCTTCTCATTCAGGAAGAAAGCAGCATCCTGCAGATAGATTGCATTGATTTAACAACATTTGTTGAGTACCCAGCTGGGGTCAGCTTGTTTTGGGGGAGGAGACTGGAATGTGGAAGACAGGAAGTTGCCCTCAGTTTTGAAGAGTTTTAAAAATTGCAAAGGGAGAAGATTTAGATATTGAAAAAATTCAAAGTAGAACGTGAGATAGTCTGCCATCCTGAGAGTGTTTTTTTATGTTCTGTGAGACTGGGGAAGGGACCAGGAGATTAAGGCCAGGGAAGTGAACTGCACCTTTTGGACTGTTTTGAAACTGCACCTGTAGCCAGGAGACTGTGCTTTGTGTCAGTCGGTAGGGCTATGTTGAATTCAGTGCCAAGTGTGAATTGAATGGAACAGGGAGGCCAAGATTATGGAGTACTTTGCGTTTGGTGACCTGACCTTGAACATATTTAGAAGATCTACATCAAGTTTGGGTAGTACTGTCCTCCATTCAGGAAGAAATGTAAATCGCCTGTTCATGCATAAATCATATTGAATGGGGTAGGTACTGAGAGGGACAACAGGAACAATTAAAGGAAGGAGTTGCTTATAGGAAGATAAAATGATCAAATTTAAAGTCACTTATTAGCAGTTCAAATAAAGCTTATCGATTGGATAAGTACATTATTGACCTTTTATTCTAAAAATATTTTTCCTTGGGTTTATGTCAAAAGTTGGGAATATTTTTAAATAGTACTCTTCAACATGATTAGGGATGGGCATCTTAAATTTAATTTGTTGTCATATATAAAGATGTTTATGTTAGCACCAAATTTTTTTATTAGGTTGTACCAGTGGGGTCTGGATCATCATATAAAGAAGGCAGATCTGGGAAAATAATAAGCTAGAGTGTCCCCTTTGTGGCATCCTGGTCTCTATGTGTCCCTTTCTAGGATTCCATCCTTAGCTACTGTTTCTTTCCTTCCATGCTGTCTACCTGTGGAGCATCTGGCCACCCTTAGGCATCCCATAAATCATAATGCCCCAAGTCCCTCACCCTACTTCTAGCATTCAGCTTTCACCTCCCTGCTATAAGCATGCCATTCTCTGATGGCTACATAGAATAACTTTCTCAAACTGCTCCTTCATTCTCAGTGATGGAAACCACAGCCAATTGTAAATCCCATACACTGCACCAGTGGTTGCCAAGGCAAACTGATATTGAACTTCCTACAAGAGTTTTGCCCAGGTAATTTGGGGTCCAGGCATGCGTAATTATTAAAAGCTCCCAATGAGATTTTACATAATTTTGAACTATTGCCTTGGACCAACCATTTCTAAAAACCCACAGTTAAAATGGGGGTGGTTACCTGGATAGGTGGATAACCAACCTACCAAGGGAAGCCAATGTCCACAGACACTTGGGAATAAGCTCTTTATGCTGGAAAAGCCATATCTTAAATTACGGATACTTCACATGTATCACAGCTATGAATACAGATGCATAGTTTTAGAAAATGTAAGTATGACCTCCTTAGCTCTTTAATATACCAGTTAATTCACTGCATATTTATTGTGTGCTTCTGTGCCAGGAATAGGATGAAAATAAGGCACAGTTCTTGCCTTGTCAGTTTTACAGTCTAATGGAACATACTATGCATTTTTTTCCCTCTTCCTTAAGGTGCAACATGATCTAACATTACAGAGTAATGGGAGCCAGTATTCTCCAAATGAGGTAAGTTTTCTGCAGATCAGTGGAAGCCGAGGTGTTCCATGAAGACTGCATTGGAATACCTGTTTCAGAAACATGATCTGACACTGCGGTTACTGATTTAACTCTGTTTCTGGGAGACACTCATTAGCTCTCACTCATTCTCAATAGCAATGATTGCCTTATTTGGGCCTCTTCATAATTCAAGATTAATTTTTATGAGATACTTTGTAAACCAAATATGGGAACATCTTTGTAGAAAACAATGAAAATCGCTCAAAAAGGCATCATTTAGAAAGTCTGGTCCTCCCGTGGTGATTCAGCGCATGGTGCCTTGATCTGCTTCGTGTTATCTGTTTTTCTATCTCGTTGTGCCAGGAGAGTCTTCCTTAGCTGTGCCCTCCTTGGGGTGTAGGAGTATACTCACGCATGCACACCCACAACTGTGTTGGAGGAGAAAATGCATTGACAGTTTCACCTGATTATAAAATATATTTATAATGAACAAATAAAAAAAATGGGTCATGTAGCAACATTCTATTGATAATGTCACTTAAATCATTTGATTTTTCAGCTAGTACTTGATATCCCAGTAGCAAATGCAGACAGGAGGTGGTTTTGTAATAATCCTTGATCATAGAAAAGCCATCCATAGTTCTACTTCAATTTTTTCCCTCATTTTCTTTCCTTCTGACCCCACAGATGAGAGAGGACTCTGCCTCTGGCTCTCCTACCACAAACAGCACAGCACCATTTGGCCTGAAGCCTCGATCAGGTAAATTAAAACCTCAGTCCCTTCTTAGACTAAATAACTCTGTGGTTTCCCTCTAGCCTTTTAAAGTTTATGTGATTATAATGTGAATGTCATCCATTCTGGGGAGTGGGGATTGTGGCATCAGAACCTTGCTTCACTTTGGGAAGGTCAGAGACTGGGGTCATGGTTTTTAATAAATCAGCTATTAAGCTCCTGCTAAGGGCAGTGGTGGCAACATTGAAGCGGGGAAGAAATTTCTGTTGAACTTTTTTTGCCCAAGGAAGATAAAATAAGACCTTTCCCCAGGGGTTCCCTGGTGCTCTGTTGAGTTCCAGAGCAGCCTCTGGTTGAGAAACTCCTTTCTGAGATGCCCTTTGTTGCTTTCTGAGCCTGGGAAGGTTTATATATTTACTCATGTGACAGGCTTGCCTGAGTGATCAGGAGTCAGGGAAAAAAAAAAAAATCTTTCGGAAAGCATTCTGCTCTTTGACCTATTTTATTTTGTTATTTGTACGTTCACAAAAGCAAATTATAGCGATATGCCAAATAACTATTGATTTTAAAAAAGGTTTCTAAACAGAAAAATACATTTTTTTCTGATTTTTTAAAAATTCATTTCAAGCTGTGGTGCTGCTATCTTCCTTTTTTCAAGCCTTTCTTTGTTTGTTGATTGATTGATTGATTTTTGATTCTTTTTATATTTAGAACACTCATTACTTATGCTTTTAAGCAAGTGCTAGTAAAGGACTCCGATATTTTTAAGCAAAAGCTGGTAAAGAACTCTTGTGTTCTTGCATTTCCCACTAAAGCCTTTTCCAACAGTAGAGGTTATGCATCTGTCTAGCTTGAAAAAGAACAAACAAAGATGATTCATTAATAAAGGAAATGTTTTTGTTCTTGGAGCAAGTTGATTGATGGGCAACATTTGGCCAGGTGCAATGATTTCCTGGCAATTTAAAAGGGCTTTAAGAAAAAAAAAGCCCATTTAGGAAAATGCTCGAATGTGGCAAGAGTCAGTGGGTATTTGATTATTTTTGTTTTTGTTGTGGTGCTGGTGATGGAACCCAGACCCTTGTGCATGCTAGGCCATCTTTGTACCACTGAGCTACACCTGACCCTCATGGGTGTTTTGTGAGGAGTCCAATGGCCACCCCCATCACGTGTAGAACTAAGCATAGGTGACTAGCTATAGACTGTGCTTCCACTTCCATGTTCTCAGGTGGGTTCTGGGAGGTGTGGGGGTGAGTCCGGACACACCTCCCCTGTGTAAAGATTATTAGGAGATCTGTCTCCACACACTGAGGACCTCATATTGGGTTGTGGACTCAGTTTACACAATTTTAACTTATTTCGTAGTCAGGCAAACCAAAACCTGCATAGATGTCCAAAGAGCCATATTCTGTTGATTGTGTCGTCTTGCAATTTAGCTGTAAACTTGTTTCAGTGACTTTTTTTTATTCCTCCTGCAGAGTCCCACCTAACTTACTGTAGTTACGGGTTACATAATGATTGTATTGTAAAGCATTTCAGATTCTTTGCAGTGGTGAAAAATAAATGAAGTATTTATTTTGAATAGCAGAAAAGAAAGATCATTTCCTCTCCAGGCTTCCAACCTTGGAAAGCTTGACGAGCCAGTGTGGAAATTGTTCTAGTTGTTGAAAGCTTTGTGGAGTTTGGTTGCTGTAAATAATTGTTGATTTACCTTCAGGGACATCAAGTGACATATTGGAACTTTATAAAACTGGCAGTATGTATTGAGATTTTAAAATTTTATATAGTAATTTTTAAACATTACAGTATGCATTTTTCATACTGTATGCAGTAATAATAATTGAAGTAGTAATAATTGGAGATCATATGATTGCAAGAGATAGGAACTATTTTCGATTGAGTGACTTTTGAAAGCTTTTTATTTTGTAATTCATTATGTGGATTTGTGTGATTTCTGTGGTATAAATAAAAACAAACTGCTCAAGTGAAGAAGTTGGAATAAGAATAATGACTGTTAAAATAAATTGATTTTTCTTCAAAAGAAACATTTTTTTTCTCTTCTGTTTTCCTCTCAAAGGAAGATAGTGCACATACCCCAAAATTTATTCCTAGAACTATGCCCATTAATTTTACTAGCCCTACTTTATGATTGAATAAAAATTATGTGGATACTTCCTAAATAAATATATCCTAAATAAGTAAATCCATTACTGTATGGATATTTATTGCAAAAACATCATTGTTGTTATATCATAATATGATGACGTGTTATCATTTCATAAATGACCAACTCAGAAGTTCTCGAAACAATAATTGGCATCTGTTTGTTTGTGTATTGTTAAATAGATTCTATTGGTATCCAAAATTGGTTTGTTGTTGTTATTTTTTACTGGCCAATATTGAAAACTGTATTGAGAGGTATGTCAAGAGGAAGAAATGGGTAGATTCAGCTTTCAGCAAAGTCTTCTAGTAAACTCACAGATGTCTTAGAAGGAAATTCTATATTGCCTTGGGAACAAATTCCACTCATAGTAAATAGTGATTCTATAATAATTTTATTTCTGATAGATATATTTTTTATATTAAGTTTTGTCCCATTTGGCCAAATTTTTGTGTGTGAATCATGTAATTAGTTTGCTATGATTGTGATTGTTAGTTGTTTAGAGAGCCTTGAGAAAGGTATCTAGTAGGACATTTGCTTATTAATTTGCATAACTTCCTGGTGCTCTTCCTTTCTCCTGTAACAACCCATTAGTACTCTAAGTCTGCGGGCTTGCGGAACTGTTAAATTAGCAATATTAACTGCATGCAAAGTGTATGACCGATGAGTACTAACACTCAGTTTTTATCATTCTTTTTATTCCATGCGCCATCTTTCATTCTCCTCCTATATTGTACATTTGCAAATAAAACCCATGTAAATGAAATCCACTTCATTTCCATACGAAACCTTATGCCATTCGTGAAACGCTGCGGCCCCTTTGGTTTTGCCTGGTCCTTGTGCAACTACACGCGGCCTGGCTCTCGCCCTCCTGCAGACCCAGCCCTCATTCTCCCTCCTATCTCCTTCAACAAACTTACACAGGCACAAACATGGGACAACTCTAGCTACAGTGTTCCTTCTGAAGGAGACAGTGACAATGGTAGGTGGCTTTGTACCTCTTCTTCAATGTTCTCGTGAATAAGTCAGTGAATATAGTGAACCTCCCTTTATGGGAGGCTGGAGAGAGGGTTGCATTCACCTGCATGCTTGATGCAAGGAATCCCAAGCCAGCCAGGGAGGTGAGGTCCAGAAAAGTGCATGCGAATTGGGAATTGTTTTCCAGCAGTTGGTCCAACTGCGGTCTAATTATATTACGTATCCTGAATTTGGGGAGGATTTTAAAGTACTTTCTTTTCCACCTATTCTGCTTGGGGTTTGGGGTTTGTTTGCAAAGATTTGGGGTTTGCACATTTGTGTTATCTCTGCTCACTCCTGCACCTAATGCTTAGAATTTGACCTTTTATATCTATGCTTACCACATGTGTTTTTAAGGTAATAAAAATGCACCATGGCTAATCCTAGAGCGTTGCACTGGAAACAATGTTAATGTTGAGAAATTTCTAAAAATGAACAGAAATCACTTGCCTTCTTGAGTATTTAATTTGAATTATATTCAAGAATAGGAAGTTGGTCTGGGAATCATGCATGCGTATCAATAGAATACTGAGGCCATCAGGATTAATGTGACTATCTTAATTTTGTGCCATTAAATCATCTAGGAGAGAGAAATAAAATACATATAAGCATTTAGATCTGCAGACCACATCGGTCTGAATCTCCATTCTAGTCTAATATTAGTTCAGATCTTATGCGTTTCATTTCAAAATACAAAGTGATAGAAGGAATGTTAAGTGAAATAGCATGATTTCTAGCGAAGCAAGTGAGATGTGAGATCTGATCACTCTGCAAACCCAATGGGGGATATATATTCTGATAGTTCATATTTTTTAATGTAAGTATGTTATATGTAACACATGGAAAATATGTATTTAAAACACTGTGATTTCTGGTTAAGATTCAAAAATGCTTTTACAACTTCCTTATGTAGAAGGAGAGTGTACACTCTGGCAGTTTAGTTATAAAAGGAATATTAACATTTCATAGATGTCAAAAATTGTTAACTGAAAATGAGCGTGATTTTAAAAATCATGAAATAAAAAGTCCATCCTGATTTAAATTCTGGAAGTTGATGATTACTGAATGGAAAATTTCTAGATAAGCTTTCCTTTACTTAAAAATAATAATAAAAAAAACCAGAAGGGAGGCATTTTTGTTTTTCAGAAAGCATGGCTATTTATGGGTATGATGTTGTTTCAAAGAAATAAAGTCTAGTATGTAAGATTGATGTGTGATTTGGTATTTCCTTAGGAATGGTATCTGAAACCAAAAGACTTTATTTTTTAAAGCTGAGAAATAATTAGGAATTTACGTAGCAGTAGAACTTCTGTCCTCACAGATGAAATACCTAAAATCAGAGAGGCAAGATGAATTGTATGATCCACACTGTTAGGTAGAGGTGCCAGTATGGCCACACCCAGAGCCCCTAATTCTTTTTCTTTGGCAGGGGGCTACCAGGAACTGAACTCAGGGGCACTCTACCACTGAGCCACATCCCCAGCCCTATTTTGTATTTTATTTAGAGACAGGGTCTCATTGAGTTGCTTAGTGCCTCGCTTTTTCACTGAGGCTGACTTTGAACTTGCCTGCTGCCTCAGCCTTTTAAGCTGCTGGGATCACAGGTGTGAGCTACGGCTCCCAGCTCAGAGCCCCTGATTCTTGAAAGCCTCCTCTCAGGCAAGTCTCCATTCATTCTGTAGATGTTTATTGAGGTACTAAGCCAAGCTGTCTTCTTTTTATTAAAAGTTTTGAGATTTCCATAGTAAATAGTCATTGTGAAAATCTTTCTCACAACAATCAAAATAACCTTGCATTCATTATTTGGTATTTTTACTCTGAGTGCAAATTCCAGGGATTTGTGTGTTCCTGT